ATTTTGTTGAGATATCACATACTTCCTTGAATTTATTTAAATGGAGGTACTCCCTGAACCTCAAATGTTTTAAAATGGTAAACTGCTAGATTGGCTAGAATTGGATATTTTAAAACTTTATTATTAAGAACTACTTTAGGTAGTTTTGTCTGTGGAAAATGAAATCCAGCTTACGTACAGTGCTTTCTGCTCATCTGTGTGTACACACAGAAAACATTAGTTAAGTATCTAATCATTTTTCTATACCCCTTTCTTGCTTTTTTTCTTTCTTTACTTTTTTGGTACCGGGGATCAAACTCATGATCTCACACTTGCCAGGAAGCCACTTATGACACTGAATTAAATCCCCGGCTTTTCTATACCCCTTTCTTACAACATAAACAAATGCATTTGATTCTTGTCTCCTTACTTGTTTGGATGTTTTCATTGTGTTTAATCAAACTGAATATTCATAGCATAATCAGGCTATTCTTTTCTACTAGCAAAGTATAATGAAACATTTCTTCATTCCTGAGTTTTTATGTGGGAAAGTATAAAAATTCAGAGAAGTTAAAAAAAAGTAAGGTAAATGTCTGTGTATCTTGCAGCTGAGCTCATCATCTTAACATTCGTCCTCTTTTTTTCCCTATCCTCCTTTTCATCTGTTACGTTACACTTTTAAAAAAAATTGCTGAGCCATTTAGAAGTAGATTGTAGGGGCTGGGAATGTAGCCCAGTGGTAAAGTTCTTGCCTTGCAGGGCACAAGACTGAGTAGGGACAGACCCACCCTTCCCCCCAAAATAAAAAAGAGGTTGTACTAGGGATCCATCCCAGGGCCTTGTGCTTCTGAGGCAAGTGTTCTGCCAGTGAGCTACTTCCCCAGCCTTTCACCCTCATCACGCTTAGACTTCAGTGTGTAAAAACAAGAACATTGCCTTGTGCAGCCTTAGATACCAGTATCACACCCCCACAACTTAATGTTCATACAATAGAACAGTTTCCACAGCCTCTATTTTTAAAGTTTATCCTGAGAAGTGTCTTTATAACTGTTTCCTTCCCACCTGAGGGATCTCATTCAAATTATACATGCCTGTTATGTCTATCTGTGTTCTTTATACAGACTCTAGAGCAAGGCTTGGTGAACTTGTTATAAAAGGTAAATGTTTTAGGCTGCATAGTAAATATTGCATCTACTCTACTGTTATGTAAACAAATGAGTGTAGCTATGTTCCTGTAAAACTGCTTATAAAAGCCATAGATTGTAGACTCCTAGAATAAAGCCCCCCCTTCAGGTCTTTAATGATACTATTTAATGACTATTTTGAGAAATTAGTTCAAACTTTGTGGCAGAGTGTCTCCAATCTAAATTTTGAAAACTGTTTCTTCATGAGTTTTTTAAGATTGCAAGTGCCTCTGTGAGGTTTTGTGTATGTGTATGTGTGATGCTGGGAGATCAAACCTTGGGTCTTCTGCATGCTAGGCAAGCACTTACTATTGAGCTCTACCCCAGTGATAGGTAATCTTAATTATTTCCTCAGTAAAGAGGGAAATCTGGTCTTCTGAAAAAGATTATGGTTTTCTTGAAAATAAAATTTTTCTTTCCTTGCTCCTTTCCTTCTGTATTGATTACTGTGTATGTAACGTTACTACCTAGAAATTGGACAGTAGAGTTAATTTCCAGATTGCTAATTCCTTGATATTCTCTTTCAGACATCAAGACTTTTACCTATATACTCTTTTATATAAATATTTTTAAATTCACAGATGTGAATAAAGAATTCAAGAGGACTTGGATACTGAAAGGTAGTGAAAATAACTTAGATACAGATTTGAAGACATTTGTATTTTATTTTAGCAAAATACAATTCTATAGTATAAAAACTAGCATTATCTTTTTTTATTTTGAAGACCTAAAACAAAAGCAAAATTAATTTTTTGCCTACAGATAAGCTCACTATTCTTAGCATTATGTAAGATTCAGCTTTAGAAAGAAACCAGTTTTATAGATTTAATTCAAAGCTGTCCTTACAGTGCTGCTGTAAGTATGCTTGGATCCTTGCAAAAAACATGTGTAATTTTAAAATTTCTGTTCCTTTATTTGGTTCAATGAGGGGCAAAAGTGACAGTGTAGCATGTTTTAATGGCATTAAAAACTAGGATTTTTAATGTTTTAAAATTCCTTTTAAATTCTGGATGAACATCTGTGGTGATTTGGTACTGTCTTATTTGCCATTTGTTGGTTTTGACTGAGATAAGATTTTCTTAGTTTTGAACCTTTATCAGTTTGATACTTCATACCCTATAAAATAAGTTTTTTTTCATTTGTTTTGCTAAATATTATAAATGTCATTTAATGATTCCTTTGAACCATCACAGCTCTACTCTATAATCTTGGCAAGTTAATTTATCTGCTTTTTGATTTCCTTATCTTTAGAATGTACTCAGCGAATGTTAGACACTGTTACTAGTTCTTATTACACAGTTATCTTGTCCGCTCGTTAACGATTTTCTTTTTGTGAAAGTTGAGCTAAATTCATAGGCAGGTGTGATCTGACCACAAATGGTCATTGCCCCTATTAGTTTCGACTAAAGTTAAAAGTTTTTAAAAAATTAATTCTGCACATACAGAAAAGTAGATGGTCTAGTACGACGGCCCCCCATCCGCAAGGCAGTGAGGTGGCCGCCTCTGCTCTTCTTGGCTGATGCCACATCTCAGCTCCATGACTGTTTTGTCTTGATAATGATGAAAGATTTTAGGATAGTGCCTTGTTTTCTTAGCAAATAACCATTGAATTAATGAACAACTGAATCCTATGGATTCTTGCCTGGATTGGCATCTGTAGTTTGCTTCTGAAAGTGGATTGGGTGGGCGGCCAGGGCTAAAAATTGATTTTCTATCGTGTTTTGTTTTGTTTTGTTTTTTTTTTTAAGAAGACCTTCCAGTTTTTTGTAATTCATTCCTTATGTGCACAGGGTTGTCTATGGTAATCTTAAACTGGTAAAATCTCTTGAGTATTCTGGGAAATAATTCAGATTACCTGAGCGAGAAGAGTTGAGTTTAATATTTTCCTGCAGTCTTCATTATTCCAGGCTTTCCTAGGGTTTATCCTTGCCCCTCCAGTCTGATAGTCATTTTGTCTGAACTTTTAAAATGGAGTTGGAGCTGAAGAGTCACACTTTCTTTGTCATCTTTGATGCAGTTACTTGTTAAAGTCAGATTTATAATAATTATCTGAACAGAAAAATTGCTAGTTTATTAGCCTCAGGTACAGTACAGGCTTCCCTTCCCAGTGTCTGCTCTGAACACGCAGAGGACCACTGCCTTTATAACTGACCATAGCACTTTAAACCTCAGCTCATTTTGTTTTATATTGCTCTTCTTTGCTTCACTGATTGTTAATGGCCTGCAGAAGTTTGAGGAAACTTAACACATCCAGATTATTTTAAGTGATGCTGAAGAGTAGCTCCTCCCTAAACACTGTGGCAGGTTTGCTTCTGCACAGCTTGAGTAGGTGTGGAAGTGACAGCAGTTGGCGTGGTACAGGGCTCACAGTGTCCTCAGGTCAGCGAGGGAGGCAGGCAGTGGAGTGTACAGTCGGTCTGATTGCCCTGTCTGGTCGTCTTCCTACCCTTCGAGGCAGAGGAGGTCAGTGAAGGGAAGTGTAAACTGTGATTTGGCTAGCAGGGATGTTGGGTGGCTCTGCCTTCCTCACAGAATCCCAGCTTGTACAAGAAGTCTGTTTTGAGAGGAGTCCTGCCTTTCATTTTTGGCGGTTTTGCCTTATTAGTGACTTTCATGGAGCTTAGCTAGCACAGGCTTGAGTGCAAGATGTTTAAAGCTGGGGAATGAGGAGAGCACCGACTGCCACTGACTGCAGAGCTGAGCCTCAGGTTGCATTGCTTGACTTGTTGTTTCTGCCGGATTCAGTATATTTTTGACTATGTGAAATGGGAAACCCAAGTCCTTTAATTTGTTCATCAAAAGCGTCAAGCATCCGTAGGCTGGGACTTGCACTTCCCACCAGCTGAGTGAAACAGTAGACAGAACAGATGTGCTGGGCTTGTGGGGTCCCGGGCTAGTAGCACACAGCCTATTTGAAGGTGTTCTGGAAACTGCTTCCACTGTGCCTTCAGGACTTGACCATTTGTTTTAAGGGGAACTTGGGTGACTTTTTCTTGACTGTTTTTGCAAAATGCAAACAAGCATTCAGGGCTCTTGGAATACAGCGTTTCTATATGTCTGCTCACCTGTGAAATTAGACATTTGCCACAGGGCAGTGTGAAGGGGGTGGCATGAGGGAAGATGAGTCAGTCAGCAGGTACTGTTGGTGCCGTGAGATTACAGGGTAGTGACCGGTAATCTACTTGTGAGGTTAAAACTACGTTAGCTGGACTAAAATGGGCCCTTTCGGGAAAGGAAGCAAAAGTATCTTTATAGCTTCTGTAAATGCTTCAGAATTGAGGATCTGTTTTTACCTTAAATGCTAAGGGAAAAGAGCAGGCTTGATAGAGAAGTGAATCTTTTACATAGGAGGTGTATAGCAGAGCAGATGGGAACCCTGCGACCTAAGGTCTCCTCTGACTTGTGCCTGCAGATGTAGGTAGGAAAAGTGCCTAAAGTCCCTTACTCCAGCAAAGTGTAACATCATCTGGATTGGATGACCCCTCCTAGATAAAATTTTGTGATTTTTGTTTTTTTAATTTTAATAATTTCTTTAATGACTTTGTTGGGAAAGCCAAATGCTTTCCTATTTTCCTATATTTCCTATACTTATTCAAGGTTCAAGAACTAAAAATTTAAGATGGGGGAAGAAGGCTTTGCTTTCTCTAACTGATATTTTCTAACTAGGTACTTCGTAACTCAGGAAGACCTCATTTATTCCCAGTAATATGTTTTACTAAACTCTTTCAGGTAACTTTAAAAAGACTGTGTGACTTAATAGTAGATCATGGCTTGAGCTCAGTTTTTGTTTGCTGTTGTTGCTGGGAGAGTATAGTGAGATCTTTCTTGTCTCTGTAGTTATCAGAGACTGCTGCAGACGATTGCTGTCCTTGAGGCTCAGCGCTCCCAAGCCGTCCAGGACCTTGAAAGCTTGGGCAAACACCAGAGAGAAGCACTAAAAAACCCCATCGGATTTGTGGAGAAACTCCAGAAGAAGGTAGGATCTGTCCTTCCTAAGTGCTAAGGTATTTTGGTAATAACTTAAGAGAATTTATTCTTTTATCTGAATTAGTATTTTGAAAAGCACTCCCTCCTAATTTGCCGTACTACTGAAGGCAAGCTCTCCTTCCCTTCCCTGATCTGACTCCCAATGAAACTGCCCCAATTAAACTTATCTCCAGCTGAGAAAATTTTTCCCCTTTGCTTAGAAATAAAAGTAGACACACTTCAAGACTTACTACTTTTGTTTTGGGTTATTTTTCCACATGAACAAAAGAAGAAAAAAGTGATACAAACAAAAACAGTCTATTTTGGGGCTGGGGATTTAGCTCAGCGGCATAAGTGCCTGCCTTGCAAGCAGACAGTCGTGAGTTCGATCCCTGGTACCGATAAAAATGAAAAAGACAAAAAAAAAAAAAAAAAAAGTCTATTTTAAGGGTCTTTAAGGTTATGATAACCAAGTCCATGAGGACAGAGTATACATTTTATTTAATTGTAAAGGGCCTGATTTTAGTGTGAAAATGCCTCTTAATTTCTCTTTTCCTTAAAGCTTTCATGTTTAACAGTTAATTGATACAATTTTGATAATTTTCTTAATGTATAAGTATGGAGATAATTAGATATGTATCTGAGCTATAATAAGTGTCTTGAATTAGGGAGCCACTAATTGCTGCTGTTGTGTTTTGTTTTGGTACCAGGGATCAAACTGCTAACCTCACGCTTGTCATGTAGGCGCTTGTACCTCTGAGCTAGGTCCCCACGAAAATTTTGTTTTGTTTTGTTTTGTTTTGTTTTTGGCATAGTGGAGTTTTGGCATAGTGGAGATTAAAATAGGGCCTTCAGTATACTAGGCAGGTCCATCAGGCTATATATACCCTCTTCTCTGTAGACTGGAGAAATACATTATTACACAACATTGTGTGAAAAGGTTAAAATTGAGAAACTATGAGAAAGAATCTTACTATTAAAACTTCTCACTCGGGAGGTCGAGGCAGGAGGATCATTGCATGTTCAAGGTCAGCCTGGACTACAGAATGAGTTCAAGGCCAGTGTGAACTGCACAGTGAGACGCTGTCTCAAATATGACAACTTTAGTGTGACCTTTTTCTACTGAGCTAGAAAAGTGTGGTATTCCAGATATTGGAGGCAATTCGATATGTTGACTTAGTTGAATTTTTCTAATATTATTTACTGGCAAATATCCTTTTCACACTTAAAGAAAACATTGTATTTTCTAATAGATTTGTATGCAGTTGGTTATTTACTGGTTCTTTATTTCTAGGTTTAGTTTATAAGTGAATTTTTCTTTACTTCCATTCAGAAGTAGTTTGTACAAAAACACTAGAAGTATATTAAATCCAGCTACTTTAATACCCAACCTAAGTTCTTTTGAAAAAAAATTTTAACTAAAAACATTTTATTAGCCCATGTGTGCAGTACAAGATGATTCATCTCAGGGAATTGATACATGTATACTAGCATCTCTTTAATTTCTTTGATTTCCCCTTTCCCCTGACAATCTTTTTCTACTAGATGTGATATAGACATTTGATTCTTTCATCTCTTTGTGTTTACTCATGCATACTTTAGATAATCCCATATTGTTGTTGATATGTGGTCATTTGTCATTACACATCTAAAAATTCCCAATATGAAATTACCAAAACATGTGATGTACAGAATGAGAGCATTTATAGCTTGTTAAGGTTTTTGAGAAAAGGTCTTGTTGAATCTTTTAAGTTGCCCAGCCTGACCTCAAACATAGAATCCTCCACTCTTATTATCCGAGAGACTTGTTTCATTTGATATTTCCATCATTATTTTAAAAGATCACATCTGTTTTTTTTTTTTTCCTCCGGTCTTTTTGAGACAGGGTCTTTCTATGCAGTTCAGGCTGGCTTTGCACTCACTTTGTAGCCCAGGTGGTCTTGAACTCATAGTGATCCTCTTGCCTCAGTCTGCTGAGTGCATGTACCATCATGCCTGGCTCCTCTAATTTTTTTTTTTGGTCTTTTTCCTTTTCATTGGTACCAGGGATCGAACTCACGACTGCCTGCTTGCAAGGCAGGCGCTTATGCCGCTGAGCTAAATCCCCAGCCCCTTCCTCTAATTTTTTAAAAGTTGAATTTTAGAATAATATGTAATATTATGATAATGGTAATACAGTATGCTGCAAGCAAAATAAAAATTAAGAATTCTGCCATAGGATTTTACTTGCTGGTTTTATAATTTCTAATCTAATCTCCCCCCACTTTTTATGGAGAATTTTGAATATACAGAAAAAATTGTAAATGTTGTGAAATTAACATACTTACACCATTACATATACCATTATTAAACTTATACCATTATTAAATTCTGTATTTCCTATTTTTGATATTTGCTTTATCATATATCTGTCATCCTGTCCATTTTGTCTTATTTCAAAACGAATAGAAGAAAAAAAAAAAACCACCCAAAACGAATAGAAGGCATTTGTTTATTTCAGATACACGGCACTAAAATGTATCAGTGTGCATCTAAGTTAGCATTCTTTTTGATACTTCTCTTCCCCTGCTTTCCCTCCCGCCTTCTCTTCCATAAGGCCAGGGGATTTTATCACTAGCTCTGGAAAAAACAAAAAGGAAAAAAAGATGAAAAGATGTCATAATTTTTATAAATGTGGTTAGGGCTTATAAATATAAAAATACTTCATTGTTTTACAAATAAGTCATACACATGGGGTATATTTTAAAAGAATTTTGTGTGTCAGTATAATCAGTTACAATTGAAACACTTCATATGCTGTTCCCAGAGAGAATACATTTTTCACTTGACATTATATTTGAAGTGTGTTACTGATGCAGTACTATATGTCCAAATCCAAAGCACTATTTCTAAACGGTACTTCTATTTTACCAAATTCATTTTTCCTTAAGTAAACAGAAAAATGTCTTCTGCATTTAATGTGTAGACTTAATGTCTCAGCTAACTTTACTGTCTATCAGATTCAGTTAGTGATTAGAAAGACTCAATTGATGATTGTTTGAATTTGACATCTGAAAATTTGAGCACAGTTGATTATCTCTTGACTTAAGTTGTTTTGTTTTGCTGTGTCTTTCCAGGCTGATATAGGACTGCCATATCCACAGAGAGTTGTTCAGTTGCCTGAGATTGTATGGGACCAATATACCAATAGCCTTGGGAACTTTGAAAGAGAGTTTAAAAATCGTAAAAGACATACTAGGAGAGTTAAGTTAGTTTTTGATAAAGGTAAGAAATCATGTGATAAAATTTAATTAGTGAAATATCTAGCAGTATCTTGCTTTAATAATTCTGTGGTTTTGCCTTTAGTAGGTTTACCTGCTAGACCAAAAAGTCCCGTGGACCCTAAGAAGGACGGAGAATCTCTTTCGTACTCTGTGTTGCCTCTAAGTGATGGTCCGGAGGGCTCCCACAGCCGGCCGCAGGTGAGCAGGCTGGCATGTTGGAGTATGATGGTTAGAGTTTTAGGAAAAAAATGGAGTAACATTTTGCTGTTTTGTGTTCTGAAAGCTCTCCATGTTATAGTTCACTTTTGCATAGAAATGCAACTAATATTGTGTTATATTGTAGGGTTATTGTGAGGCTTAAAATTTGGGTGTTACATGCAGTATCCTTCCTGGTCTCTGGCACATGGCAGACTTTTTTTGGGGGGGAGGACAGGACTGGGGATTGAACCCAAAGAGCCTTCTCATTGAGCTACATTCCCAGCCCCTTTTTCATTTTGAGACCACTTGTGGCTTGACACATAGCTTTTTATTATAAAAATAGCTGGATGTGGTGGTGCATACTTGTAATCTCAATATTTGGGAGGCTGAGGCAGGAGGATCACTGCTACTGCAGGGCCAGTTTGGACTGCACAGTGAGTTCAGGGTCAGCTTGAACTACACAGCAAGACCCTGTCTCAAAAAATGAAAAAAAAAAATAGCATTTAAGCTGGGTGTGGTAGTGTGTGCATGTAATCTCAGCCCTCAGGAGACTGAGGCTAGAAAATCTTGAGTTCAAGGCCAGCCAGGGCTACAGGGCTAGACAGTAAGTTCAGGGTCAGCCTTAGCTCATAGTAAAACCTGTCTCACACCCCTTCCCCAGACTGTGTAGTGGGATGTGACTAAGGTTTCTGTCCTGGCTTTGCCCTGTTGGTTAGACCTGTTGCTTCTTTTCCATTTTAACCTACATTTCATTTTACGTATTTATTTATTTTCTCTTGTTAAAAATCATCTATATTGGGGGTTGGGGATTTAGCTCAGCGACATATAAGCACCTGCCTTGCAAGCAGGCTGTCGTGAGTTCGATCCCTGGTACCGGAAAAAAGGAAAGAAAAAAAAATCATCTATATCATGAGGTTATTAGGAGTGTACATAAAAAACTAAATGTAAGATTGTGAATATAAAATTGTGTATACATTAAAAAAACAGTTTACCAAAGTATCTTGAAAGGATCCATGGTTGGTGTGCTATTCAGCTATCACAGAGTAGCCTTTGTTATTTTCTCTGTGGAAAAACAAGGCTTGTTTTATGCGCAGATGATAAGAGGCCGCCTGTGTGACGACACCAAACCCGAAACGTTTAACCAGCTGTGGACCGTCGAAGAGCAGGTAAGCACACTTGAACAGTGCAGCTTGCGAGGGAAGTTGTGGCTAATGTTCGAAGCCATATTACAGATCACACATTTGTTGCTGTATGTGGGAGTTTAAAAATATTTACACTTAGTTTTTAACCTTTTTGCACATTTAAAGAATGTTGGCTTTTGAGGCTGTGTGAACTCCTGTTGAGAAGGAGCTGGGGCTTTGAGTGGGGAACAGACATGGCTGGAATAAAATGGATGTTTTTGTAGTACAGCTTTGGGTGAGACAAAAACCAGGAAGCCAAGAAACCAAGCCTCAGAGTACAGTTTTACCTACTCCTGTGGGAGGGAGCTGATAGAGGCAGCCCAGAACATTATGTTACGTTTTCACTACGGCTAGAGCTGTTTGTGGTGAAGTTGGAGACGCAGCCCTGTGGTACTAACACTGCAGCTCTAGTAGGTTTAGTAGTTTATTAAAAGCTTTCAGAAACCTTTCTTTCAAACATGTAGATTATTGTGTATCTTGCAGTCTGTGTAAGACTTTAGAAGATAGGAGAACCACACAAAGGAAGGAGAAGCTCTATTAATATCCTGGATCCAAAGAATTCACACGTGTGCTTTTGCCAAAACTGTAGGAGAGAACCTGACACATTCTAGCAGAAGATGGTCAGTGGAGATCATTCCAGGCTATCAGATATGACAGGATTTATTTACTTACCAGTTTCCTTATGCATTTTCTGCTTTCTTGTGCCTCTTACTGAAGTTGATAGAAAGCTTTCAGATCTTTCATAGCTGTATTCTCTAATCTCATTTTCTCTGTAAAATCTTAAGTTCCTAAGTGGAAGTTTTTGTTACCATGAAGATTCCTAGTTACATAAGCCCCAAGGGTGAGAAAGGAGTATTATACTTTGAAATAAAATATGAATGTGTTTTTGTAGAAACTTTTGTGTTTTAAATTGAACACTTTTTTTACTTAAATTTGATCTTATGTTTGGCTTAGAAAAAACTTGAACAGTTACTCCTGAAATACCCTCCTGAGGAGGTAGAATCCCGACGCTGGCAGAAGATCGCGGATGAACTGGGCAACAGGACAGCAAAACAGGTGATGAGGGGCCCGGGCCCGGGCCAGGGCCAGGACTGGGCTGTGGGTTTTATACGAGGAAGAATGGTCTCTAGTGTCCTTTCTAGCTGTGGGACACAAGAGTGGTGTTTTTAAAAAAATACTAGCATTCTGTACTTTTATGTTGCTTTCAGAAAACAAAAACTTGAGTTAGTCTTATTTTGGATCATTGCAAAATACTAACAAAAATATAGTGGACTTAACATCTCTTAAATGTTTAATAATTATGTATTTACTTTCTAATTAGACTGGGCTATGAAAGTTGTGACACTGCTTCAGGATTCCCTGATTGTCTTTCTGAAACAGTATTTACAAATTGAAAATATATATTTAGCTTTGGAATCAAATGAATTTGAATGTACTTAAATTATTTTTCATCTAGGCTTAAAATTATGTTTGTTGACAGCTTAAATTTTTTACACTTATGATGAATTTTAAGTTATTATATTAAATTATTGCATTAATTAGTTACACATGTATGGTTTAATTTTTTTAAACTACTCGAATATTGTGTGTCATCTCATTATGTTAAAACGATTGTTATATTTCCCTAGGTTGCTAGCCGAGTACAGAAGTATTTCATAAAGCTAACTAAGGCTGGCATCCCAGTTCCAGGCAGAACGCCCAACCTATATATATACTCCAAAAAGGTAAAAGCAACCCTTGGGTTAAATTCATTAAAGCCAGAATTTTTATGTAGAAATGTACATGTTTGTCAGTATACAGTTGTTTGGTTTTTGAAATTCTGTTCATGGCAAGCATTTTATTATGTTGGGCCTAAATGCAGTATAGGATTCCACTATTGCTACTTGGAAGAGCTAATTGAACTTTTAATGATTCTGCCCTATTTCCTTGGGAGTAATATGAATGAGCGCTGCTTGAATGATTTTATATTGGGTTTATTAATAGGGCTTTGTGAGGTTAAATCTTTTAAGATGTTTGATTCTTTAAAAAGTGCAATAAGTTTCTGTTTTGTACTATGCTACATAATTCAAAGCCAGAAATGTATAAGTTATTTAATGGTCTTCCTTGCAAGGGTAGCAGTATATGTGTCACCTCTACTATACTAACAGCAAGACTCATAGGTAGCTGTAATTCTCACTGTTGAGTGCTTGGATCAGATACTGTTCCCTAACCTTTGTACAGAAAGGGAAACTGGATTTAAAGTACATTGATTCAACTGTCAAGTTGCATGTCTAGTAAGCCTGAGAACCACTGATTTTTCTGTCTGTCCACGCCCCTCCACCCCTCCATATTTTGAGAGAGAGCCTTGCTATGCAGTTCAGGCTGGCCTTGAACTCACTTTGTAGCCCAGGCTGGCTTTGAACTCACAATGATCCTCCTGCCTCAGCCTCCTGAGTGCTGGGATTATAGGTATGTGCCCACCCCTGGCCTTGTTTTCGGATGCTGATACAAAGCATTTTCGCTGGTTTCTTTCTACAGTGAAAAGGCTGCTGTTGCCGTTGATTTTTAAATAGAACACTGCATTAAACTATAAAAATTTTTTTTATTGTCATAGTTGGAGGAAAATATACAAACACCTGATTCACTTTTTTTTTTTTTTTTTTTTTTTTTTTGGTCTTTTTCCTTTTTTTATCGGTACCAGGGATCGAACTCACAACTGCCTATTTGCAAGGCAGGCGCTTATGCCGCTGAGCTAAATCCCCAGCCCCTGGTTCACTTTCTTTAATAAATCATGCTGATACATCCTCTCCCACATTACTGTTTCACATAAAGCTAATGTGGTACATGCAATATTGTTACTTTTCCTAATAGAAGTAATAGTATGTAATTTTACATTAAGAAGTTCTCTATATAATTTGATAGTTTACAAGTTAACTTGTTTCACCAAGCTTTTGAAATGTCTTTCAATTTGCTTGTTTTAAATATTTTGGATTTCCCCTTTTATCCAATACGTCTTTTACCTATGTGAGATATATGGAGTTTGTCCTGTGGCTTTGGAGTATTGGAGTCTTGGTTTTTAAGATGATTTTATAGATGTGTTGTGTTGTTTTCACAGTTAAGATTGGATAATGAAGCCAGGCGTGGTGAGGCATGTCTGTAATTCCAACCCTTGGGAGGCTGAGGCAGGGGGATCATTTTGAGTTCCAGACCAGCTTGGGCTACAAAGTGAGCTCCAGGCCATCCTGAGCTGCACAGCAAGACTCTGTCTCAAAAAGACCAAAAAAAAAACCAAAAAGATGATGATAACAGAAAGGATACTGGAGAAACCTAGACATTTTCTTTCCCCTGAGTGTACTGTTTTAAGTTCATAGACATTTTGGGTATGAAGATTTAGCATACTCCTAGTCCCAGTGACTGTTTGCTGTAGTCAAAGCTTAAATTTTGAGTGTGGCATAGAGGCTCACGCCTATAATCCCAGCACTTGGGAGACTGAGACAGGAGAATCACCACAAGTGCAAGGCTAACCTGGGTTACATAGTGAGTTCAAGGCCAGCCTGAACTACAAAGTGAGACCCTGTCCAGAAACACAAAGACAGTTTTGAAATAGATGGAATGATGGTTTTCCACCATGTACGAAGCTGAGGTTGCTTTGCACTTCTGTGCTGTTCATTATCCTACAGAGTGGTGGAGAGTGAGGGCTTTGTATCACGTAAGCATACTTTATAATGCTGCTTCTGCCACTGCCTGCAGCACACTGAACAAGAAATTTACTGACCATTTCTTCACCTTTAAATTAGAGGTGTTGGGCCTGGAGATTGAGCTCAGTGGCATAAGCACCTGCCTTGCAAGCAGGTAGTCATGAGTTCAATCCCCGGTACTGATAAAAACGAAAAAGACCAAAAAAAAAAAAAAAAAAAAATTAGAGGCGTTAACTGCTTTACACAAATGTTATGAGAATTAAGTGACATTGGCTAAGGTAATTATTTTCAGGTGTTCATTATATTATGGAAGCTTTCCTTTTAAGTCCGGAGAAATGAGGGTTAGATAATTATTTTCAGGCCAGTTATGGGAACTTGCCCTTCACTCTGTTACACATCTGGCTCTCTCTGATCCTCAATAAGAGGACTCCAGGAGCAGTCAATGTAGCCAGCATTTGAACGCAAATCTTAGCAATGCTGGGACACAGAGACAAGCTGGAGGCCCAGCTGTGGCACATTGTGCGCTCTTCAGGTGTTTTCCTGTTTCTGTTATGTCAGGGGTTTGTTTTGTTTTTTAAAGGTTAAAAGTCCAGAAAGTATAGAAAAAGTAATGCTGTACTGAAGGAAAAAGTGAAAATCAAACCCATTTTGCTAGACTTTTTTCTGTGTACTGGCGATTAAACCTCATAACTGTGCATTTGCAAGGCAGGCGCTTATGCTGCTGAGCGGCCCACTTTTGCTAGACTTGCTGAAAGTAACATTTATATTTTCATAGTTTTATACCCTATAATGATTTCCTTTTAATGTCACAATTTACAAATTTGTTTTTTCACTTAGTCTTCAACAAGCAGACGACAGCATCCCCTTAATAAGCATCTCTTTAAACCTTCCACTTTCATGACTTCACACGAACCACCAGTGTACATGGACGAGGAGGACGACCGCTCCTGCTTTCAGAGCCACATGAGCACCGCAGCAGGAGAGGCATCAGTGAGTTTTGTTTTGCGTTTTGCTTATTGTACAGATCAGGGTATAGCATTAGCCTGTGTTCTCTCTTCATTCCTGTTCTTAGAACATACTGATTTCTTCTCACTAGTCAAATTTAAAGTTTGGCTGGGCATGGTGCCACACACCTATAATCCCAGTACCTAGGAAGCTGAGGCAGGAGGATCATTGCGAGTATGAGATCAGTTTGGGCTACAAATGTGAGCTCTAGGCCAGCCTGAACTGCATACTGAAAACCTGTCTGTCTCAGAAAGACAAAGAAAAAATAGCTCGTTTTGTTTTGTTTGTTTGTTTTATTAAAAAAATTAAAAGAAAGAAGGAGATTAAGATAAAAGAGGACATAACAACATAATAACACAGGTCAGAACAGAACAATTTAGGCAACATAGTGTTTCACCACAAGATAACCCGACATAATAGTAGCTACCATAGTGTTTCTTTCTTTGAAATATTTGAATATAACTTCATATATTATAGCATCAAACACAACATGACAGTGTAAAACCATTCAAGAGAATGAAAGTATTATAGGGTATTTAGAACCAACTAACAGAAAACGAACAGTGATTTCTATATTTATCGCCTTGTGTATAAAAAATTTTGTTTATACTATCACATATAATAAAATCCAATAAGACACAACATGATAAACCAATGAAGACAGAAGAACAAAAGCTTCATGGGACTTCAAAACAAGATGATACTAAATCAGCACTAGCTATTATAATTGTTTTCTTCAAAATAACTTCATACCATCATAGACAGTAAAATCAAACAGCCCAGAATAAAACCATTCCAATTAATGAATGAAAACATTATAAGGATTCAAAGCAATATAATGGAGAATCATGTTTACCATATACTTTTATGTATTCTTGCCATTTCTTAAACTAGGGAGATTATTGTGTGTTTATATGTGTGAGAATAGTTTGTTTTTTAAAATGTGCTTTAAAAGGTTTCCATAAAGAAAATCTCAGACATTTACATAAGTTGGGAGAAGAATAAACCAACATGCCCTCATCACTCAACCTTAGTAGCTACTAAGTGTCAGTCTAGTTTTCCTTTCTCTCTACCCTGGATTATTTGGGAGCAAGTCTCAGATATTATGCAACTGTGTTTATAAAAAGTACACCTTTATAAAGTTAAAAATATGGTCAGTGTTCATATCTTCCCAAACATCTCAAGATTTTTTTTCTATTGTTTGTTTCTGGAGCCACATAAAGCCAATAAGTCGCAGTTTGTTTTCTCTCTTGTTTTTTCTTTTTTATGAATGAGGGGTGAATGAATGAAATGGATTATTTGTCCTGTAGAGTCTACCACTGTGACTTTTGTTGATTGCTTGTCTCTTCTGTCACTGACATGTTCCGTGTCCTGAATTTCCAGTACATTCGCCACAGGTCTGCAGGATTAATCAGGATTGATCAGGCAATGGCTTAGGCAGGCAGGACCACTTCATGTGCATGCGCATTAATCTGGATGTCACTCTTTGACTTAGCAGCCACTGATCTATTAATTCAATTAGTGTGACAAGTAGTAATACTCTTTCATTCCCAGATCCACTAATTCATTAATGTGATAAAATAGTGATACTTTTATGTTTTGTCATTTGTTTTTTGGAATATTCTATAAAGTAAATCCCATCATGGACAACTTTTAAAGAGCCTCAAAGGAAAAATAGTTGCTGTCATTGTTATTAAGAACTACCAGGAAGCTGAGTTAAGGTAATAGATGTAGAAAAGGCAGGATGCCTGCCTGATTCTGCCTTTATTTTCTTGTTTTTAAGATGATGAGTTTATTTTCTTGTGTCCGCCAAAGCTAATAAATTTTTAAAAATTTTTATTCTGAACTATTGGATTTAAGTACATTTAATGTGTTTTGGCCCATGGGTGTTAATTTCCTTGCTTCTTTTGTCTGTTGTAGTCGGTCCATTTGGCTTCCGTTCTTAGCTTAAGACATGCAGGGCTCCAGATCAGCATGGATGTTTTCCGCCTCTGACCTGCAGTCAGTCAGTCCTGGTTTCTTTTGCTAGGAAGTGGTGTCTGCGACCACGTCCTGCTTCTAGAAATCTTGCTTGCTGCTGGATTGACTATTGTCTCTGGCATGTTGAATGGACAGAGCAAGCAGAATGTGTTGTAGTTTTATCTAATGTGGTACCTTCTTCAGAAAGAGCAAAATGGAGTGCTTTGATCCTTGAGAGTACAGAGTAGAAAGTAAGAGCAGGTTTGCTTGTTCTTAAAGAAATGTCCTGTGTTCAGAGCAAGCGTAAACATGTGTAAGCAGGGGGAAGAGGAGTGGCCAGCAGGCCATGGGGCTGGATTGAAAGGAGTCTAAAGTAGCCACGATGCACAGAAACAGGGCTGGGTGTGCCTTGGTCTGTGAGGTAGAGTTGTGCGCTCTCCCTTGCACCTACATTGTGAAGCTATCCAGCACAACTCAACATTGCTGCTGCTCTAAAAAGTTACTCACAGTTATTAGTGTAAAATATTGCTAAGAGTGGCACTAATTTTCCATGAGTCTACAAGGTGAGGCATTTTGTTAAGTGAAAAATACTTGTCAGTGGAAATGTAATCTGTGCTAGTGTTTCTTGCACTTTGCTAATTTAATTGCTGAACCAACATTTTTGTGCTGTGTTGTTTTCTTTTCAACAGGATGAAGAAAGTATTCCAATCATGTATAGGAATTTACCTGAATATAAAGAACTATTACAATTTAAAAAGTTAAAGAAGCAGAAACTTCAGCAAATGCAAGCTGAAAGTGGATTTGTTCAGCATGTGGGCTTCAAGGTACATACTACTTAAAAAAAAAACCACAATGTGTAGTTTCTGAAGGTGATACAAGATACATTAAATGGTATCTGGATTGATAAATGCTAAAGCCGAAGGGTACAAGCAAAATGATTTCTTGCTTGCTCCATTTATACAGAATACTAGCCTGTGCTTCCTGATGTGGAGAGGTTTATGATTCAGGACAGAGCAGGTGACATACAGGTGTCTAATCTAGGATAAAATATGGGACAAGAAGGGCCGGGGACTTAGCTCAGCGGCATAAGCTCCTGCTTGGCAAGCGCACAGTACCAAAAATATATATGTATATGTATAGGACAAGAAGTTTTTGTCTAGTTGTTTCTCTTGGTGGAATAGAAGACTCCCTTCTCCACCCCTCCCCACTTAGACTGAGTCCTCTTAGCTGTTTTTCCGAGAGCCTAACAGAGTAAAATTTTGTTTCCAGTTCACTTGAACAGTCACAGCATACAGCAATTCTTTTGCATAAACTACCAACAAAAACTGTAACACCATGTTTGTGGTCTCATAATAATATCCTCCAACCCAAACAAGACAGACAGTTCTAATGTCCAACTTTTTCTCAACCATCCTTCTCCACCATCACATTTGGCCATAAACTGAGCCGTGGGTGGATCTCCTGGTCCTTCCCATCATCTGGTCAGCCCCCAGAGCCCACCTGTGAGCACTGAGGCTTCAGGGGGACATTCGGTATGATCTGTGATAGTGGGTTTGGGGCTGATTAGCTCCCAAGAACTGACTATGGGTAATTTTGTAAAATAATAAGCATTTGTGTAATGTTATGTAATACACACACACACACACACACACACACACACACACACACACACAGGGAGGCCCCCTCCCTGCCCAAAACAAAAATAGAAGCAGGCAAGAGCAGAGGAAAGAGGCAAGAGTCTTACAGTAATTTAGACAAAAGATGAGGGTATCTGAATGTGTCTGGTGGCTATGGACCTAACAGATAGGTGGACCATTGAGAAAAAGTTGGACATTAGAACTGTCTGTCTTGTTTGGGTTAGACGATATTATAATGAGACCACAAACATGGTGTTACAGTTTTTGTTGGTAGTTTATGCAAAAGTATTGCTGTATGCTGTGACTGTTCAAGTGAATTGGAAACAAAATTTTACCTCTCCTCCTGATTCTTCACCATTAGATGATTTTACCTCCTGATTTTCAGCATCCTTACCAGTTCTAGGCTTTGGGAGGAAATTTGTTCCTCCACATAATTCTGTTCTTGAACCCAAACGTGATTTGTTAGCCAGTTCATCAGTCACTCTAGTTGGCTTGATGCTGAAGAATCTAGACATGGGACTTACGTTGATTTCCAGGATTCTACAGAGCCTACAGAATGCTGTCACAGTGCCATCATATGGAGAAGAGCTGGATCTCCCTTTTCAGATGTGCTGTGGTTATTAGTTGAAAAGTGATTCAGTAAAATAGAAGTTGTCAGAGGATGTTGTAGTTACCCAGTTTTGTATTAGTGATTCCTTAGAACACTGCTGTGCACATTTGGATAGCTTTAAGTATGAAATGAAGTCATTGACGACAATTGTCATATAATGTCTGAGATGCTTTTCAAGCAAACAGTTACTAATAATGAAATGGTCAAGTTTGAGATGATTTACTTAAAACTTCTTAAATAAATTAGAGGGCATTGATGATTCTTCCTTGTAATAACGTTCTTCCCCCATCTGAATCTTGATTTTGAGGAATGACCCTTTACCTGGAACTTGGCTAGAACTTGTACCCAGTTTACAGCACTATTTGTGTTGCAAAACTGTTGATATGAGGGGAAACTATCTGTGTGCACATCATATTTTTCTAGCAGACAGTAAAAGAGACACAGTGTAACACTGTCCCTCTGGAATCTGTTGCAGTGTGATAACTGTGGCGTAGAACCTATCCAGGGTGTTCGGTGGCACTGTCAGGATTGTCCTCCAGAGATGTCTTTGGATTTCTGTGACTCTTGCTCAGACTGGTAAGTGTTCTCTGCATTTGTGGTCTTCAAATTTGATAAAAACGGAGCTTCTCAGACCATGAATTTGATCTCCAAACTTCTAAAAAGTAGTTCTACTTTGGGAATTTAATTATGTCCTAGGTGAGTAAAGTTTTTTGTTTTATGCCGTATCTTGAGTAGTGTTCTGTGAAAGATTTGGATGGGTAAAGCTTTAAACAGGTTTAGCTTGAGAAAGTTTTGTCATGTGCAGACTAGATGCATTCAGTGCCATGTAATGATGCATTTGTGTGCTTTGTTTTTTTTCTCTGCAGCCTACATGAAACAGATATTCACAAGGAAGATCACCAACTAGAGCCTATTTATAGGTCAGAGACATTCTTAGACAGAGACTACTGTGTGTCCCAGGGCACCAGTTATAATTACCTTGACCCAAACTACTTTCCAGCCAACAGATGACATGGCAGAGCGCATCCTCACTAGTCCTCTTCGACACATAGCAATGGTATCATTGTTGATGATGTGCAGTTTGGAAAGGGCCTCTGCTTTTCCTGAATGACACTCACAGCATGAGCGCTTCCCGAGTGTTCTCGTCCAGCCCAACTCTGCCCCACGTGGCTCTCCAACCCTGTTCAGCAGCCGAGCGAGCGTCTGGTGAGCAGAGGGTTCCCTGGTGAAGCTCCCGCCGCCTGAGCCTGGAAACGGCGGTCTAGGTGGGCTAGACGGAAGCGAGAGCACACATTCATGTGAGAGCAAATCCCAAAGGTTTCAGAGAACTTGGTCATAACTATGGAAACAAGACAAAGTATTTATATTCAAACACTTTAGTAGCTTTCAGTTTTGTGAAAATAGTTTTCAGCACAGAAACTGACTTCTTTAGACAAAGTTTTAACCAATGATGGTGTTTGCTTCTAGGATCTATACTCTAAAAGAACTCACTGTCCAGTGGTCATTGACGGCCTTTAGTAAATTGGAGCTGCTTAACCATATCGATACCTAATTTCTTTTAACCACAATGAACTGTCCTTGTTGTCAACAGCAAAGCACTACAGGAGGCAACTGTGGCATTGCTTCTTAACCAGCTCATGGTGTGTGAATGTTATAAAATCGTCACTCAGATATATTTTTTAAATGTAATGTTATATAAGATGATCATGTGATGTGTACAAACTATGGTGAAAAGTGCCAGTGGTAGTAACTGTGTAAAGTCTCTAATTCACAACATTATTAATTCCTTTAAAATACACAGACTTCTGCCTCTGTATTTGGAGTTGTCCGTGCAACTCATCAAAGAAAACTGCCTAATATAAAAATCATATATATGGTAATAATTTCCCTCTTTTGTAGTCTGAACAAGATCCATAAAAGATTGTATTTTTATTACTATTTAAACAAGTGATTAAATTTAGTCTGCACAGTGAGCAAGAGTTCACATGCATTCTTTTATACTGCTGGATTTTGTTGTGCATCATTTAAAACATTTTGTATGTTTCTTCTTATCTGTGTATACAGTATGTTCTTGAATAATGTTCCTTTGTCAGGAGAACTGTGAGAAATAAACTATGTGGATACTGTCTGTTTATATTATAGATGCTTGTTGTGACTTCCTTTGATTAGATTTGGATTTTTCTTAGTAGTGTTAATACCAGAAATTGTCTACGGTTTTGCTTTACGTATATGAGGATTTTCTTCATGTCCTTTATAAAGAGTAAAGAATATATTATGGGAAAGAGAGTGAACTTGAGAAGATCTGTGAGCCATGGTAGTTAGTGTTCTCCACAGCATGCCCTGGAACACTAAATCAGGCTGGCTTACAGAGGAGAGGCCGAGGCCTGGTTAAAGGAAACAGTGAGTCATTAATGCCTGCATGTGAAAGCCTCGGTTGGAGATTTTTATTCTGGTTGGTTTTGATGAAAGTAAGTCCCATGTATTTAAATGGCAGTCTCCTGGAAGTTATTATTGACCAGGATGAGATGGTATAACTATTCTAAGATGGATTAAGTACTATATTATACTTGACCCAGTTTTTGTAGAGTTTTTTTTTTTTTCGTGTTTTTAAATCTAGGTAACATTATTTGCTAGTTCTTTTCAATACATAGCAGAGCACTGAAGTCTACCTTGCTTTTTTAAAATTAAGAAAACAATAGAGTTTTAAGTATAGAAATGTGGGAACTTTGAAGTAATATATTGACTAAAGATCACTAAAAATGTTAATATGATATAATCGGAGAGTGCGTGGACTTCTCACCCTGAGCTGTTAGTGGGGGGAAGAGAGGACTCCTCCGCATTGTAGCCATTGTGATATTAAATATTAGGTGCATATGCCAGAAGCTCTGCCTTCAGCCTGTCACCAGGTGGGTCAGTAGCACTTGCCGGTAACCTCTTGTGACTTCTGTGTTTGTATAGAAACGATACCAGTTAGCTTTGGAGAATCACTCAGAGTCTTTTGGAGATCCCATAGGAGTATGAGGGATGCTTTGGCAGAGGCCTGTGAGCAATACAATTGTTATAAACAGAAGAGACACAAACCCACTAGAGTGTGTTTTTCAAGGGCAGATTTTTTTAAGACTTGTAGGTGGCAAAGAGGATTATTTTCTGCTGGAACAGAAGATGTGTTTGTTTTGTACTTTTCAGCTCCAAGCAAATAGTCTCCATGGTATTAAAAGGCATTATGGGGTCGCAGCGGCAGCAGTGAAGTTGCCTTGTCTGTTGTGGTAGAGGGTGGCAGGAGTGGCGTGGCCAGCACGTGAGAGCCCGCAGAGTGTGAGATGCACTGGTGTGTGGAGGCCCTGCCTATGAAATGCTTGCAGTCATTCAGCCAGCTCTGTTCACTGGTCTGTCACGCTGTGCTCTGTGTGCTTGCTAATGCCTGAGGAAACAAGCGCTCCTAGGAGGGGAGGTTTCCCTTGGCGGGATGCATTCACTGGTGGCTCTAGGACAAGCCTGAGCTGGGGCAGCCTGGGCACACGGGGCCCAGACGCTCGGCTGCCCCTTTCCCTGATCCTCCTGCCCCCACGGGGCACATTTCGCTGAGGTCTGAGGGACAGGTTTTAAACAGGAGATTGAGAAAACTGTGCATTACGTAGTAAAGATGACTACTGTTTTGTGAACTCTCCTTTCCAGCTGTAGGCGGCGCGGCGCTGTGTATAAGCTGTGTTTCTTACCGTGGGAAACCTAAACCCATTACTCTAGGTCCCTTGGATGAAACGGGGGGGGGGGGGGGGGAGAATCCTTCCAGGACCAAGTAGCTTTTCCCACAGGATTATGGAGCCACTGGCCTTTTGGGCCAAAGCATGTTTTTCTTTCCTACCGTGATGAAAAATGATCTGCTCTCCTTAGGAACCCAGTAAAGGCCAGAACTCCCCGGTTTAGTAACTGTGAGCGTGGGCCTAGCTTTTCATCTCCGGAAACACCTGGCGGTGTGTGCCCAGCGCTGCTGGTTGGGAGAGCCCTCACCAGGAGCCCGCTGTAAGCGTGGGCTTAGCCCTGAGCCCGGGCCTGCGTCTGAGTTTGGGCTCTGGGGTAGGGATCGTGAACCCGATTCAGCTGGTCTCATCTCCGCAACTCCGCGATGTTAGGGGCTCCCGGGACCCGTCCTGCCAAGGAGAGAAGAAGACACAAGGTCCCAAGGGAGAGCCGCGTTAGCTCTCTGTGCCGCCGCTTGGCTCCCAGACCGTGGAGCAGACGCACCCCTGTGTAGATGGACAGAAAAGTGTGAGGAGGGAGAAGGCAAACTCCGCTGTTGTAGGTGAATCATCAGAGAACGCCCCGCTGAGGAGGGTCACTGAGAGATCAGAGCGGAGAGGGAGTCCTCTGCGGTCACCTGCAGTGGGTGGCCGGGGGAGGGGTGTGGGGGTGCCGGCTCCCTGACAAGCCCTTGGGTGGTTCTGGGTCTACCCCGTAGGCACAAGGGCCTTTTGCCAGGCAGGGGCCGTTTCTTGTGTAGAATCCCTGTCATTTTAAAGCCACAGTGCGTCTTACAACCTGGGCAAGTTCCTGCGCCCTGCCCGGGGGAGCCCTGGCTCCAGCGCCCACAGCCCTGCATGTTCCAGGCAGTGCGCGGGTCTCATTGCATCCCGTCCCGTCCCGTCCCGTCCCGTCACGCTCGCTTTTTTCCTTTGCTCAGTGCTGCTGAAGGAATGCGGGAACATGGGCATCCCAGGATGGCGTGAGGTCAGGGCGCAGGCTGCCCCTGTGCAACCAAAGAAAGTTAATTTCTTCTCTGGGGAACACTGGCGTCTCTGTTTAAGAACCTGATTGCAACAGTGACCGCATATCATGAACACATTACCAGTTCTCTCTGTAATAGTTCAAGTCTGGTCTATGGCCAAAATTAAAACCATATTAATGGATCGTAAGTCTCAGCTATTACTGTGTTTGCTTCTAATTTTGTTTGGAATAAAGCTTCAAGTGCTTTCCAGAAAGATGTGAGTTACAAATAAATAGAAAAAGAATCATCCTGTCTTTGATATATTTTATTTGTACATATCCATTTCAAGGAAAAAAAGACTTTAAAAATACAATTCTGTCCTGGAAATGGATCCTTATTTGCACAATGATTGAAGAGAAAAAAATCATGCAAACTGAAACGACAGTCTTTTGTACCACAGCAGAATGAATGATGCAGTTATTTCTGTAAGACACAGAAGCTCTGATTTTGCAACTGATAGCACAAAAGAGAACCAAACTTCACTGGTGTGCTGCACGGTTTGCAAACCCCTGGAAAAGGCATGGGTGAGACAAGCAGAAGGCTGCACAACACCTGCTTGCTAACATGCCCTTCCTTCCCACCCACAGCCGTTGGTCACTGTGCCTTTTCATCTGCTGTACTGGTGAATGGGTGGACATTGCAAATCAAAACGGTAAGATGGCACTTGTCCAGTGAACAAAATAATGAGTCATCTCATGCTTCGAATTACTTTTGGTCACTGACATTGTTAGAGCTGCTAACAGGCATGACCAGGTAGAGAGCAGACTAAGTCACACAGTTACCCCAGTTCTACTAGCCATTAGCAGGCAGCATTCCCAGGAGCCAATTTCCTAAAAACAAATGGAGAAGGTGACATGATCATCCTAGGACTTGCCACCCTGGAGAACTGAGGATTCCAGTTTTAAAAGTTTCTTTCACATGGGGCTGGCTCCATAGCTCACTGTGCAACCCATGGCAAGAGCTGTGGTGGGCAGGCAGGGACGTGGCCGAGCCACCCTAGAACAGGCCTCCACCTGTCCACGTAGGGCCCCTCATCCGGGCCAGCAGGGGAGTCCAGAGAAGGGAGGGGTGAGGGGATTGAGGGTGCTGGCCCCCTTCTGATTAGACTAGATGGCCAGACTCCAGCAAGAACTGGGGCACAGTGGACACAGTGGCACCACCGTGCTGATAGCAACAGAACAGTGTCAGCCAGGGATTTAGCTCAGTGGCATAGGCGCTCACCTGGCAAGTTCAAGGTTGAGAGTTCGATCCCCGGTACCAAAAAAAAAAAAATAAATAAAAGGTAACAGCGTGTGAACTGGGGCGGGGACAGGTTGACATCTCCTACTGTACCACGCCTGGCCCCAGACACCTTCCACACAAGCCCAGGAGGTGCAGACAGTGCCAGCAGGGTCTGTGGTTCACAGGACACTGACGCGATGTTAAGGAATGGGCTATTCAGTACGTTCCTCTGTCTCTCCATCTGGGCTTTCAGGCCTTCAGAAAAGAGAGTCAATAACCTTGCAGAGTTGAAGAAAAACTTCTTCTGGTGTTCCCTCTGCGTTTACCTATATTTAAAGGAAAACGGACAAAGTTAGCTTTTTAGTTTTGCTTTGTCTTTTGAGACAATCTCACTATGCCAGTTCAGCCTGGCTTTTTTTTTTTTTTTTTTTTTTTTTGGTCTTTTTCGTTTTTATCGGTACCAGGGATCGAACTCAGGACTGCCTGCTGGCAAGGCAGGCGCTTATGCCGCTGAGCTAAATCCCCAGCCCCCAGCCTGGCTTTAAAGTCATGCAGATCCTCCTGCCTCAGCCTCCTGAGTACTGGGATTACAGCCATGCAGAGAAAGGTTAATTTTAAGATGTGTTTGTAAATGTGATCTTTTTTTTTTTTTTTAAATAATAAAGCTTCCTGCTTTTGCTCAGCAAAGTTTAAAAACACAACCCCCTCCCGCAGAAAAGGTACAGGGAAGAAAGAGTAATTGTTTAAAAACTAGATGCCAAACTATATAACAAGTGATCACTGCACATTCATCAGAAGGGGCACAATTGAGAGTCATGGCACACCAAATGCCAGTAAGGGTGAAGAACAATCAGATACTTCTTCATTGCTGGCAGGAATGAGAATGGTACAGCTGCAAGCTGGGTGTAGGGGTACACGCCTGTAATCCCAGCAGGAGGATCGCTGCAAATTTGAGGCCAGTCTGGGCTGCATATCAAAACTCTTGTCTCCAAAAAAAAGTCAAGGATAAAAACGACAGCAATGAAGGGAGACACTGCACGTCTTGGTATTGACTTGAACAACTGAAAAATTGATGTCTACATAAAGACTTGCATATGGATGTCTACAGCAGCTTTATTATAATTGACAACACTGGAAAGCAACTGAGAGGTCTCAGCATTTAATAGACTAGTCCACACAGACATTCACATTATTTGGAATACTACTCAGTGCTAGAAAGAAATGAGCCAGCAAGCCATAGAGTCCCAGAGGAAACTTTAGTGCATGTTACTGGCAGAAGCCAGTCTGAAAAGGGCACAGACTCCGTGGTTTCAGCTGGGGCGTTCTGGAAGTGTCAGAAATAATGGTGACAGTGAACAGATGAGTGGTTGTCATGCTAGAGATTAAAACTAGACTCATCGTTTGCCAGGCACTAAGAACGAGTCAGATGTCTAAATATTAAAATAGGAATACTAAATCTGCTGGGAGATAAAATAGGTAGAACTCTTATAGACACTGGTGTAGACAAACACTTTATGAACAAAGCCTCAATCACAATATAAAGAATCAGCAACTGGAATCTCATCAAGATTTTGCACAGCAAGAGAAACCACCAACAGTGAAGGGACAACCCAGTGTGGAAAAACTTTTTTGCCAGCTATTCCTCAGACAAAAGACTATTATCTAGAATATATAAAGAACAAAAAACAAAAAAAACCAGCCAGAGCCCCTCCCCCAGATTTAAAGATCCAATGCAAAAATAGGCATCTGAGATGAACACACACTTCTCAGCTGGGGATATAGCTCAGTGGCATGGGCACCTGCCTGGCAAGTACAAGGTCCTGAGTTCAACTCTTAAAACACTCCTCAAGTGAAATACAAAGGGCAAATAAATACAGGAAAAAATATTTATCATAGGTCATCTGAGAGATGCAAATTAGAACTCAGATTCCATCTCACCCCAGAAAGAATGGCTATTATTAAGAAATTAACAATAACAAATGCTGGTGAGGCTGTGGGGAAAAAGGAACTCTTCTGCACTGTTGATGGGAGTGCAGACTAGTGCAACCAGTGTGGAAATTCCTCAAAAAACTGGGACTAGAGGTACCATTTGACCTGGCTATTTCCCTTCCTGAGTATCCCCCTGAAAGACTTAAAAGCGTCACACCACAGCAATATATGCACATCCACATTTAGAGCAGCACAGTTCGCAAAAGCTAAATCCTGGGAACAGCCCAAATGCCCAACTGGTGAATGGATAAAGATGTGGGGTTTTGTTTTTAATACACTAGAGTTCTACTCAGCGGTAGAGAAGGATAAGCTTGGGAAAGTAAAAATAAAAAAAGCTAAGTGTGGTAGAGCCCAGGTGGAATCCTAGCACTCAGGAGGCTGAAGCAGGAGGAGGCCACAAGTTTGAGGCTAGCCTGGGGCACATAATGAGTTCAAGGAGAGCATGAGCTACATAATGAGACTCTTAAAAAAAAAAAAAAGACTAGAAAATGTGTTTTTTTTAAAGGGTAAGCTTGAGACTTTTGTACTCAAGGTGAAACTGGACCCACGTGTAGATACTACAGTTTCTCTGGCAGGAGAAAACTGAAAGGGAAAACAAAGACCAAAAGGGGAAACGGGAAGAAAATGTTCAAATGGGAAGGGGAACTAGGAAAGAGGAATAGGGAAAGGACAAGGGGGGAGAAACAAAGAATAGAAGGAGAAAATGGAAACAGGACCTTCGTAGGTGAGGAGGGGACGGGCAGGGCCGGCAGGCGCCGGGTGGAGGCCGCCCCGCGGTACGCCGGTCTGGATGCGAGTGCGCGCTGCGCCCACCGAAAGGCCAGGCGCCCTCAGAGAAGCAGAGGCGGAGCTGGGGTTCCAGGCTCGGGGTCACTGCGGTGCTGCGGGGAGCGCCGGGAAGGGCTCGCTCCCAGCCGACCGGAGCTCGCCTTCCTGAGCGTGCACCGCTGTGGGCTGTGGAGACGCCAGCACGCCAACCACCGAGTCACTGCCGTGCTTAGGGGGGCCCGAGCGCTCAGACCCGGCGGGGACAGGACGGGCCGGGGGTGCAGAGGCGCCGCCCTCCGCCCTGCCGCCGTGCCTGGGCTCAGGTCTGTCCCCAGCCCAGGGCCACTGTGTCTTCCCTGGGTCCCCTGCACCTGCAGTGCCACTCAGGTGACGTCGGGGACGGTGGGCGTGGGCGTCAGAGCCTCTGCCCTTCAGCCTTGAATCCCTCACGAAGCCTGGTGGGCTGGCAGATGGGGCAGCGCCACCCAGGCAAGGCTGGGGCCGCTGGCGCCCCAGATGTCTGGCGCTTGAGCTTCTGTCGGGCTCTGGGAGAGCGGAAGCTCCCAGGGCGACCAGGCCAGGCCAGGTGGGTCCTCAGCAGGCGCAGGGGAGACTAAGCCTATGTTCTCATGGCTTGAATCCACACAGAAGAAGACTCATCAAATGGTAACAAATGAGCCAGGCATGGTGGCGCATGCCTGGAATCCCAGCACTGGAGAGGCTGAGGCAGGAGGATGAGAGTGTGAGACCAGCCTGGGCTACATAAAGAGTTCAAGGACAACCTGACCCTAACTCCAAAAACCCAGTCGATCGGTTAACGCTACTAAAGAGGAAAAAAGCAGAGGGCTCTGGGCCGCTGGTGGAGTCCACAGGCAGAGCCCTGGCCAGCAGGCCGAGGCTGTGGGTTCATCCTGCTAAGAGGGCACAGGCCTGGCCATCCAGGGTGGCAGTGATGTCAGTGTGTGGCCCAGACCAAGGATGTCTGTGGGTGTCAGGGGCTGCACGGCCTATGCTGCTCCCATGTCCCTGAGACCTAGGCAGCCACGGGTGACCACAGAGCCCATCTGGGATGAGGCCAGGATCTCAATGATTCCTCAGGACCTAGGCACTATTGGACCCTTAGGCCCAGCCCTTTGTCCACACTATTGGGTGCTGCTGCCTGCCAGGGCCCTGAGAAACCGGGACTTGATTGAGGTCAAAATGCCATGGATTTCTAAAGCTCACCTTTTGGAGCTGACCTAGTGGGCACATGCCTGTCATTCCAGCACTCTGGGAGGGTGAAGCAGAAGGATCTCAAATTTGAGCCCAGCTTGGGCAATTCTGTGAAACCTTGTCTCAAAATTTAAAAACATTTTTGGAGCTGAGGATTCAGTCTTTAGCTCTGAATTCTCTCTGTGGTGCCAGTAAATGAATAACTGAAGCAGCACAGCTGGTGGAGCTGTGGGTAGCGCTCAGTGCTGGAGGGCCTGGCTGTGTCACCTCCCTCAGCGGAATGAATACCGCACCAGCTAAACACCGGGAAGTGCAGCTTTCCAGCCTCACCGCCAGAGGGCACCCTGAGCAGACCTCCGGGACCTGCGCATCTGAAAGATTTCACAAATTCTCCTTAAGATATTTTCTTTTCGTCTTTGCATTTAAAATTTTATTATTATTATTATTATTATTATTATTATTATTATCATTATTATTATTGTTGTTGTGGTGGTTTTTTGACACAGGGTCTCGCTATGTAGTTCAGATTGGTCTTGAACTCACTATGTAGCCCAGGCTGGTCTTGAACTTGCAGTGATCCCCCTGCCTCAGCCTCCCGAGTGCTGGGATTACCAGCGTGCGCCAGGGCGCTCGGTCTTCAGTGAGTCTTGTTAAGGACACTAAGGATGACTTTATTCAGGGCTACTTCCATAGGTCCAGGGACCACAGCGATGGGCTGGGCTCACCTGTGAATTCAGATAGCGCCAGTGGATATAAAGTTACTAAGAGGTCACAGCCGGGAGAAGGGAGCTCACAGTGCCTGCCGAGCACCGGCAGGGTGTCAGGGAGGTGACAAACTGGTTATGCTGACTTAACAGCCTTCTTTGCCAACCCAGGTTTTTCTAAGGAAGGGCACAGGTGGGCCTGAAAGGAGGCTCCACGCCTGTTTCAGTTCATTTCTCGTAGCAGTGATAAAATAAAACATCCAATACCCTTGAAGAAGGTGCAGTTTATTCTGGCTCACGTTGCGGTGCCTGGTCAGCTGGCTCCTGGGAGACCAGCATGGCAGAGGGTCCTGGGAGCAGAGCTGCTCACTACAGGGAAGACAGGAATCAGAGAGATGAGGGAGGCGCCCAGAGGGAGGTAAACCCTCCTAGGCCCCACCCCTTCCACGAGGCCCCGCCTCCTAACGCATCACGGACCAATCACATTCCGCAAGCCCTTCCCAAGTGTCTGGAGGCTCTTAGTACATTTGCATAGAAATCCAACCCTGACTGGAGTTTCGTTAAGCAGAGGACCCATGTCAATGTCCACCGAGACAGGAAGTGTCGAGGACAAGGTCACTGCTCAGCACTGTGTTCCCAGGACCTAGCTCTGGGTAGGTGATGGCACCAGAAAATAAATCCACAGAACTGACTGTGCTATTTGCACCTCCCCCCTCCCTGTCCCCTCCCTCACGGGAGGAGCTGTCATCAGGCAGCACAGTGTCCTGAGCCTTGTCCTGGCTCTGCAGGACAAGGGCTCCTCTTGTGAACACCCAGCCACCCAGGGGCCATGCAGAAAAGCCCAGTGGACACTAGAGTCTGAGGTGACGTGGCCATGTACCCTCTTCACCTTCCAGGGCAGATTCGCGCATGCCCGCCCGATGCCACATCCCTGGAGGGAAGATAAGTGACAGTGGTCACAGTCTCCTGCCAGTGGCTCTCAGCACGCAGAGGAGGCTCCCCATCTCCACTCCTGAACTGGAGGATGGAGCAGGTGACAGTCTCCAAAGATTCCTACCTTGGTACCCTGCTGAGGGTGGCCTTGCCACTCACCCATCAAGAGATAGAGTACAAGCTGGGTGTACTGGCACCCACGGGTAATCTCAGCACTTGTGAGGCTGAGGCAGGAGGATTGCTGTGAGTTCAAGGCCTGCATGAGCTCCACAGCGAGACCCTGTCTCAAAAAGCCAAATCACAGATGAAATGCTGTCCAATCTCCTGGAAGCCAGGCTGCCTTGTGTGACTTGCTCATAACCAGTAAAAGGTGGCAGAAGGGAGGCCACAGGTGCCGCACACTCCCCGCCACTGTCCCTGGGCTCTGCCTCAGGGACCCACAGCCATCCAGGGGTCCACAGGTCCCTGCTCAGGACTTGGAATGAGGACAAGGGACTTCTTCAGAGGGGACACGTCACCGCCCTGGCCTGGTGGCTCCAGGCCTTCTGAGTCATCCTTGGCCACTGAAGCTATGCCAGCTTGCAGTGACAAATGATGGCGGTCAGTCAGTTTATTGTTTATAAACTGACTGGGGATCGAACCAGGGCCTGCAATGGGGCTGCACTGCCAACCCTTTGTTTTATTTTATTTTTAAAAAATTTTGAGTCAGGATCTCAGTCAGTCACTTAGTTGCCTAGGCTGGGCTCAAATTCATGATCCTCCTGCCTCTGCCTCCCAAGTGCTGGGATTACTAGTGCGTGCCATCAAACCTGCCAGTGGTGAAAGAGGCTTAGTTCTTTTTTTTTTTTTTTTTTTTTGTCTTTTTCGTTTTTATCGGTACCAGGGATCGAACTCACGACTGCCTGTTTGCAAGGCAGGTGCTTATGCCTCTGAGCTAAATCCCCAGCCCCTGAGGCTTAGTTCTTGTAGCAGACAGTTTCCTTCCTGTTGGTAAATGTTGGTAACAAAAAATGATACATACAAAGATGAAATATAATGCTGTAAAAACGTAGGAGGAGCAAGGGTCACTTCCTCTGCTATGGCAAATGGGACGTAAGAGGATGTGGCTCACGTGAAACAGGAACAGAAAGTCATGAAACGAGAACAGACTTGGACAGAAAAGAGCAACAGCGTGAGGAGGAAGGAGCAAGCTCAGGTAAGAGAGCAAAATTAACCACAGGAGGGAATTAAACCAGGACGGAGCCAGAGCGCCGAGCTGGTGCCTGACAGGCGACGCTGAGGACAGTGGTCTTCCTCATCCCAAAATACGACAGCAAAACGATCATATTGGAGGCAAGCTGTAAGCCCCGAACTGTGCTCTGGATTCCACGCGTGCCCCAGCCCCGGAGAGGTCTGCGCCCAGACATTCCAACCCTCCATTAACCGCCAGTAACTGGCTCTGTCGTTTGTCAGTGTGGCTACTAGAATATTTCCAGCTACTGTACTTATGTGGCTCACATTGTATTTCTGCCATACTGTGCTGGTACAGAAATTTAAGAATTTGGTGTTTCTAAAGAAAAGTAAGGAATGGTGGAATTTAAAAAATAGCCAAAGTGGGAGGCCAGGCATTGAGACACACGTTATAATCCTGGAATTTGGGAGGCTGAGACAGGAGGACTGCTGAGAGTTTGAGGCCAGCATGGGTTACATAGTGAGACCCTGATCAAAAAGAAAAAGAAAACAAAAACAAAATCTGTCAGCCAGGCGTGGTGGCACATGCCTACTCAGGGAAGCTGAGAAGGAGGACTCTGAGTTTAAGGCCAGCCTGGGTAACCTAGGGAGATGCTGTCTCAGAATGAAAATAAAGAAATAAATAAGCAAAATGCTTGGGAATCGAAATCAGACCAGCACACGTGAGGCCCCAGATTCCATCGCCCGTGTGGGGGGACATCAGAGAAATGCTGACCCTGCAGCTGGATAACGTGGAGAAACTCTTAAAAATGTCACTAATAATAATAATGAGCCAGGGCAGGAGACGCAGGTAAGAAGGACAAGGGGAAAGTGGAACTTGTTTTGAGACAGAGCCTTACTCTGCAGTTCTCCGGCACCTCTGCCCACCGAGTCTCGGGGCCGCTTACTGACCGCTCTGAAGTCCTTTTCTGGGATGTAGCAGTGAACCTGCAACCTGCCATCAGTGGTCCAGGTCCTGAGCTCCATTCAAGGTGCCACAAGTTGAGAAAGGCTGGCACGGTGGCGCATGCCGGCGGTCCCAGCACCCAGGAGGCCGAGACGGGAGGCTCGCTGTGAGCTTGCGGCCAGGCTGGGCAATTTAGTGGGTTTGAGCCCAGACCTTAAGTTGCACAGAGACCCTTTCCCAAAAAACAAACAAACAAATGAAAAAACTGACAAAAGGGCCAAGTAGCAATTGTTGCCAATCTCCGGAATTCAAAGGGCTGAGTCTGAGAGCCAGAAGGGGCCTGCGATGGTCCTGACCACCCAGGCCAGAGGCCCAAGGGCCCGCTTCCTTCACCCTCCCTTTCTCTGTCTTGGAAAAGCAGCTTTTCCAAGTATGATGGTGTCACGAGGCCCGTGAGTCTACCCCCAACTGTAATCTACTTCCTTCGGCTCTGGAGACTGAACTGAACTGCATCCCTGCTGTTTAAAAAAATATTGTCATGCTTTTCACAGCAAAAGAAATCACCAACAGGGTGAACAGACAACCCACAGAGCGGGAAAAATGTTAGCCCACTGTCTCTCGGGCAAAGGACTTACAGTTAGAAGGTATAAAGAGCTGGAAAAACACCCCAGATTCCCCTCCAATTCAAAGACCCAGGCCAAAAATGGGCATCTGAGATGAATACACACTTCTCAAATGAAGAAAAAAATGGAAAAAAAATATGAAAAAATGCTCACCATCATTGGTTATTTGAGAAACGTAAATTAAAACAATGCTGAGATTCTATTTCACCCATGGCCATCATCAGGAAATCAACCGGTGACAACTGCTAGAGGGGCTGTGACGAGAAAGGAGCCCTTCTCCACTGCTGGTGGGAGTGCAGACTGGTGTAACCACTGTGGAAATCAGTGTGGAGATTCCTCAGGAAACCAGGATTAGAGACTGTCTTCCTCCCAGCTAGTCCCCTTCTGGATATCTTCCCAGAAGAACTGAAAACATCATACCACCTCAATATATGTGCACCCTTGTTTATAGCAGCACAATTTGTAATTGCTAGATCTTGGAAACAACCTGAATGCCCATTGACTGAAGAATGGATAAAAAACATGTATTTTTAAACAATGGAGTATTACTCAGCCATAGAGAAGGATAAAGTAGAGATTTTTTTTTTTTTGTCTTTTTCGTTTTTTATCGGTACCGGGGATCAAACTCACGACCGCACACTTGAAAGGCAGGCACATATGCCGCTGAGCTAAATCCCCAGCCCCCAAAGTAGAGATTTTTATAGGTAAATGGATGCAACTTGAGACCATCCTCATAAGTGAAATAAATCAGACTCATATGTGTAAACATCATATTGTCTCCCTGGTATGAGAAACTAAATAGTAAATAAGTTCTAAAATGTACAATAGATATTGTGAATTAGGAAGAAACTGTTTGAAAGGAAAGAAAAACTGGGATGGGGGAAAGGACAGTAGAGAAAAGTGGGAAAACGTAAATCAGCTATACTATCAATGTCTCTGAGCTAACTGAAAAGGAAGGTTTGTGCTAATATTAACTGGAGAAATTTTTACGCCCGTATCTTGCACTCTTGAGTAGCTGCTTTAAAGATAACAACATGCAATATGTTAATTATTGTTATTCTCCTATTATTTCATTGTGAAATTTTGTTTCACAGGTTTTCCATAAATTTTTTTTCTTGTGTCGGAGCCTGAACTCAACTTCTTGATTGCCAGGCAGGCGCTTGTGCCTCTGAGCTAAATCCCCAGCCTTATAAAATAAAATTTAAAAAAACATTTTGACAGCAGAGCTCGGTAAGTTGCCCGGGGTGGGCTCGAACTTGGCGCCCCAGTTCTGCAGCTCTGACCCCCAGACCCGGCGCCCACAGCACCCATAGGGCCCACACACATGGTGGCCTTGTGCGCAGGGCCACAGCTCACCTTCCGCAGCTGCGTCCGGCCCTCGTAGTGGGCCAGGACCGGCAGGCAGGCCCGGTAGTAGGTCTCCAGGCGCTTGGCCACCGTCTTGGTGGCGTCCTCCGTGGCCGCGCTGCCCGGACTTCTCTGGAGAAGGCGGCTGGTCATGGTGTCTGCTGAGCAGTCCATGCCGATGACTAAGTGCGGGTCCCCGACCTGGAGGGGACAGAGCAGGCCACGCTCAGAGGCTCTGCGCTGCTGGTATCCTGGCTGGGAAGGCCTGGTCCTAGCTCTTTCTTTCTGCCTGACAGGGGCTTGCCAGGTAGTCCAGGCTGGCCTTGAGCTCATGGTGACCCTCCTGCCTCAGCCTCCCGAGTGCTGGGGTTACAGGCATGCACCACCACGCCCTGTCCAGTCCTACACTTAACTGTCCTTTTGTCCCTGGGGAGCCAGGGATAAAGTGCGCCTGGGCTGCATGCCCAGCCCTGGCTGCAGGGTGGTCCTGGCTCGGCGACTCCACCGTATCCCTGTCGCCCTCGGAAGGCGCCTGGCAGGTGACAGCAGGCAGGGCGGGGGCGGCTTGGTGGACGCTTGGGCTGGAAGGAACTGGGCCCTGTGCAGAGCCCGCCGCCCGGCAGTGACCCGCGCCGGCCAGCAGAGGGCGCGCTCAGCCTCAGCCGCCGCCAGCCCCGCCTTTCGCTGACAGCCTTGGCGCAAACCAGGCGCGGAGGTGCACGCTTGTGACCCAGGCCTCGGGAGGCTGAGGCAGGAGGATCGCCACAAGTTCGAAGCCAGCCTGGGCTACGTAGTGAGACCGCGTCTCAAAATAAAAAACAAGCAACAATCTGATTTGGAAACAGGGTCTCGGTCAGTTGCTAAAAGGTCCGCTCGGGCTCTCGCTGTGCCCTCCGGTCCCTGCTTTCAAGGGTGCCGGGTCACAGACGTGCACCGCAGCACTCAGCTGCGCTCCTGCACACTCACGGCGACCCGCCTGCCTCAGCCTCCCAGGGCTGGGATGTGTGCGTCCCCGCGCCCCCTCACTTAGGCAATTTTCAGGGGGCCATTAACCTCTTATTAGCCAAAGCCTGACGCCCCAGAGGAGCCGAGGCTCGCGCAGGAATTCGGATCCGGCTGCGTAGTAGGTGGCGTTCTCACCCTTGCCTGGCGTTCTCACCCAGCCTCAGCTTAGGGCTCTGCCGGCCCTCAAGACTCAGAGCTAAGGGTTCGATTAAAAGTTATTTTAAAAAACATCAAATGAAAGTCGGGTGCACCACCGACCTGGGGTCTCTCAGTGTGCGTGATGCCCCTCCCCTTCCGGTCCGTGTTGTGGTCCCCCAGTTGGGTCAATCAACAACCCCCACCCTACTGTGGCTTTTTTTTTTTTTTTTTTTTTTTGCGCAGCACTGAGGCTGCCTGTGGGGACATCACTTGAAGCAACAGCTCCAGTCCTTTTTCTTCATTTAGGGACAGGGTCTTACTAAATTGCTAAGTTGCCTAGGTTGGGCTCAAATTGCAACCCTCCTGCCTAGGCCTCCCAGAGCACTGGGCTGATCCGCCTTCCACATGGTGAATGGTCCACGACTCCTTGCGGACAATGAAAGCGCCCTGGTCTTTGCCGGAGCCCCCGGTAAACAGAAACACTTTTCTGCCAGGTCCCTTGGGTGGTGGAATCTATGTCAGAAGAGGGAAACTGAGGCCACCTCCAGGGACCAGGGACGTGAGGAAGGCGGTAGAGAGCACCGGGTCCGACCAGGCCGGGGTCTGTTCAGCCCTTAAATCAGCGCCCCCCCCCCCCCGCCGTGGCCCCACACTGGGGAGACCCCCCTGCCTCGGCCGCCAGATCTGTGGTCTGAGATGCGACGGTGTGTGTGTGTGTGTGTGTGTGTGTGTGTGTGTGAGGTGTGACGGGGCGCCCGGCGCAGGACCTCAAACCCGGAGCCCGGGACGCCCCTTCCTCACCCGGCGTCCGAACTCCTCCCCTTGCTTCAGCCCCTGCGGAAAGCCGGAGACCAGGAAGCCCGGGACATCAGCGAGCCTGGCGGCCATGGCCTCCTGCAGCAGCTCCAAGGTGAGGCCCTGCGGCAGAGACAGCGGTCAGCACGGAGTGGGGGCAGCAGGGGCACCCCCATAACCCTAACCCTGGGCTCCATCACCTCTTACTTAGCTACTAGTTTAGTTTTTTGGGACAGGGTCTCACCATGTAGTCCAGCTTAGCCTTCGACTCAAAGAGATTCTCCCGCCTCAGCCTCCAGGGTGCTGGGATTGCAAGAATTCCCTGGTTCTCTGGCTTCTGGCAGGGCTTGGGGGAACTGGCTCGGTAATTGTGAGTTAGTCCTCATAAAGTTTATAGTGTAGAGAGGAAGACAGCTGTAACCACCATATTTGGGAGGCCGAGACAGGAGGGTCGTTTTGAGTTTGAAGTCTGCCTGGGTGGTGTAGCCAGATCCTGCCTCAAAAAGCCCACAATGAAATAAATAAAAATAAAAATAAAAATAAAAATAACAAAACAAAGAGGAAGCCAGACGCAGGCTCCTGGCGCCCCCAGTCCCTGCGGGGGTCCGGCTCACCGATGGCGCCGGCTCTCCGCGCTCCATGCTGGCCCTGATCAGCCGGCTCCGCTCCGAGTTCGACGCCAGCTCGGCCCGCAGCAGCCTCCCGGGCGACAGGTGCACCAGGCCGTACTTGGCCGCCAGCTTCTCGCACTGCGCACCTTTGCCGGAGCCAGGGCCACCTGGAAGAGAAGCCTCGGTCAGCTGCGTGCCCTGACGGCTCAGTCCCGACTGCTGGCAGCCGTGGAGGCGTGGGTGCTTCCCCTAGTGAGTTAAGTACTCCAGGAGGGACCAGGCGGTAGTGACCATCAAGACTCCGCGGGTACGGCTGGGTGAGGTGAAGCACGCCTGTGAGGCCAGCGCTCAGGAGGCTGAGGCAGGAGGATCGCCCGAGTCACCAACCCCTCCCCCAGAGAAGCAGTGGACTGCGAGCCAGCGAAGAGAGCGTAGAGCTCGTGTGGCCCTGGCAGTGGCATCCCGGGTCCCCGGCATGCTTTGGGGAGCACACGCAGAGCACTGTGCACCCCGCCCTTCCCCCTGGTCCTCGTGGCCCCAGAAAAGCCCGGTCTGGCTCAGTATGGCTGTGCAGGGCCCATGGTTGGTGACAGACAGGCTGGACATGACAAACATGCGGTGACCACTGTGGAGAGCAAATGACAGGGCCCAGAGCTGGGGCGGGTCTCCCATGCCTCAGTTTCCCCAGAAGCTCCTGCATGTCTGGTTTAGTTCACGTTTAATGCCACTTTCCTACAGATGCTTTGAGTGCATTCTTCTTTATGGCAGTGTAGTACTTCGAGGTGGGTGCCCCCTACCACAGCTCCATCCAGGTCCCTGCTGGTGGCTGTGCTAAGCCATTGTGAGTTGTGCCGCTATGAACGCAGGTGTGCTTGGGTCCCTGGAATCCGGCTGGCTATGCAGGACAAGGGCGCCCCTGCAATCCCAGCACTCGGGAGGCTGAGGCAGGAGGGTCAGCTCGAGTCCGAGGCTATACAGACAATGTTGGCCCCTCCAAATATTCCATCCATCTAAGTGAGCTGGGTCCCAAGCCTGCTTTAGGCCCCTGTGACAGCCTGGTCACTTCTGAGAAAAGCTGTTAGGCTGCTGGGTGGCGACCCTCAGCTCAGGAGAGTCCCCACGGCCAGCCTGGCCTTCGCTCTCTATGGCACAATGGTCACGGTTCCTGACCGTCAGCGCTGGGAACTGTTTTTTCCTCTTGCTGTGGATTGGAGACCAAACACATCTGAGAAATGGCTGCATAGCGTCCACACTGACCTGGGCCCAGGCCTCTGGCCTCGCAGCCAGCGAGGAGCTGTTTCCTTTACAGCAACGTGCTTAACTGCTTTTTAGAGACACGATTTGCCTACGTAGTCCAGGCTGGCCTTGCGCTCACAGCAGTCCTCCTGCCTCAGCCTCCCAAGTGCTGGACTTGTTCTTCTTTCTCTTCCAGAAATTATTTTCTGGAAGGAAGATACTATGTAGATGTGACATTTTAAAGGCCAAAATGGTCTCTGTCTCCTGAGTCACTGGCTTTTCATAGTTTTATTTAAAAAAATGAGGAAAAGAAAAGGAAAAAGGTTTCCTGTAGCACAGTGGCTTCTTCTGGCAGTGGAGCGTAGCTCTTTCTTTCTTCTGAGACAGGGTTTCACGCTGTAGCGCAGGCTGGTCTTGAACTGGCAGCAACCCTCCTGCTTCAGCCTCCCCAGTGCTGGAATTACAGGCAATTTTCACTCCATTTTCTCTGACCACGCCCCAGGCAAATGCTGTTTGCTTGCTTTCTTTGGGTGACCGCCTTTCCCCTTCCTTCTCCATGCTGTGTCCCGTTGCTGGGCTGGCACAGGGTTTTGGTGACACCCGTTAAATTGCCTAGAATAACTCAAAACACTGTCTGGGGAGCTCGTTAAGCTCGCCACTGCAGAGCAGCTGGGGCTGCCTGTGTCCTGGCGCACGGACAGCACAGTCCCGGCCATCGGATGCTGCCAGTGCCACTCCCAAGCAGTCAGGCGTGGCTCTGGATAGGAAGGCGTGAGAACTGAGTGGGGGAGGACAGCAGGCCCCTGTGAGGGGCACACAGTGAGGCTCTGTAAAGAACACAGATTCTTTTTTTCTGAGACCAGGTTTTGCTATGCAGCCCAGGCTGACCGCACACTCTTGGCGATCCTCCTGCCTCAGCCTCCTGAGTGCTGGGATGACGGGTGTGCACCACCACATGCAGCTTCTTTAAAGTATATTTTTATGTTTCCCAAATATTCTCTGACTTCGGCAACAGCCAAGTCCCAGCCTTGTTTCTGGGTGCAGGTTCTCATCTTTCCCGTGGGGACGATCAACACCCCAGAGGCCTTTGCGATGCCTGTGACAGCCGGGCCCCACCTGCAGGTCTCCGTCCCTGATGACAGCCAGCGTCGCTGTCAGGCACCGGTGGGGAAGGTGGCCTTGGCTCGGCTCCTCAGAACCTGCGATCCTGCCGGTCCTGTCCCCGTCCTGGTCCCTGTCTGGGGACAGCTCCGCAGCCCAGCCTGGAATTCCGACTGCTGCTGACTGCTGTTTTGGTTGTTATGGAGACGGTCACACTGCTTCCTGAAGAATTCATTATTTCAACAGACACATTATTTTCTCCTCATTCTGGGGGCTTTGGCTGAGCGACACAGACCGAGGGAGGAGGCAGGCCGGAGCGAGGCCAGGGGCAGGAGGGGCAGGTGTGGGGCCAGGCCCGGCCTGACCTGGGCAGGAGCGGCTCGGGCTTTGAGGCGCAGACAGCAGATTCAGGGTGTGGCGGAGACTGGTGGGAGGGTGGGGCTGGGGCACTGTCACAGGGGAAGGGCGCCATAGGAGAATTAATCCTGTGTGGAGAAGAACAGTGACACGCAGGTCACGCTAAAAAGCTTCTGCACAGCAGCACAACTCCTAAACAGCTAAATCCAGGAAGCGGCCATCTGCCCACTGATAGATGGATAAACAAAATAGATGGTAAACACCACGGAGTATTACTCTGCCATAAAGAAGGGCAAACTGCCATTTGTAGGAAAACAAATCTAAATTCAGACACACAGGCGCCAATATCTCATGGCTTCTCTTATGTGAGAAACCCAAATTATAAATAAGGAGCAAAATAAAAGATAATAGGAAAGGCTGCCTAGTAAACCACAGCCCAGCTGTGAGTCTGACAGATGCCAAGGCAGCAAATCAAAAACCAAAAAACTCAGTCTTTCAGGAAAAACCACTGTGTGACTGCAGTCTTGACCCTTGTTGATCCTGCAGGTGTTCAGAAGCTCACTTCAAACCGACCTGGGGTAATACAGCCCTAAATGTCATCCTGCATCTGACACACTCGTATTTAGGGTCACGTCCCCAATTTTGGTGGAGTCCAGTAAATTCTGCAGAAGGAGACATGTCCTGGTGCCTTCCTCAGAAACGGCACAATAAAACCTTTTCACTTTCTTTAAATCCAACCAGAGCAGGGACTGACCCGAATGCTGGAATTCAGGACAGTGTGGCCGGATGCAGAAAAAACTTCTTCCTCCGAGCGAGGATTCTCAGACTGTGGGACTCTCAAGCTCGTCTGAGGCCAAAGTCTTGCTGTGGTGCTCTCTGACTTCCTGAAACTCCGAACTCTGGACCCAGCCATCCGAGGTCCCTGGTCCTGCTTAGCCAGCCAGACGGAACATCTGAAAATGTGCTTCCAAAGCGACCTCTGCTACGGTCTCCCTGCTGCAGATGCTGAGGGCCGCCAGCCCGGTCACAGCACTGTCCTCAGGTTATTAAGAAGGCAGAGCTGTCTCCCCAGCTGGAGGGCTCCTGCTGCGGATTTCTACACGTTCAAGGGTCCATCCTTTTGCTAACTGGGAGCCTAATATAAAAACTGAACAGAAACTATAACGCACAGTCTGCATGCCAAGAAAACAGATCATTAGGGTTCTGTGGGAAAGGGAACTTCTACTCATCTCTGAGCACTGCTGATTTAAAACCAAACCTGAGGACCCTGCAGTTCAGAAATACATTTCGTTTTCTGAAAAAAATGCAAACTTACTGTGGGGAGTCCTCCCGGCTCCCGGACCCCTGCCCCCTCCTTCCCACAGCTGGCCCCCCTGGGTTTACAGGTCCCTGCCCAGGGACCTCCCCATCGCCTCTCACTGCCCAGCTCGGCATGGACAAGCTCTCTGGGACAGCTCTGCGCCAGGCCACAGTGTCCCCTTCCCATGACACACGGGTGACACAGAGGTCTCCTGGGGGGACCCCAAGGTGGCCTCTCTGCACCCCAGCCCGAATACACTCGGATTGTTCATTATTCTCTAGTCCACACTTGGTTTCAAGTCTCTGGAGGATTAGCAGAAGCGCCAGCTCTTCCCTGGAGCTGCACGGCCCTGCCCGGTTCATTTCCACGGGGAAACGCCCAGGATAAGCTCCTTATGCCACCCAAGTCTCGGTTTTCTCCTGTGTGTTACAGAGCCGTAATATAACCAGCAGTAAATGAGGTGGCTTACAAAGACGTTGTATTACAGCAACCCATGCACACCCGTGTTACAGCAGCACAAATGACGGCTGCCAACACTTGACAGCAGCCTACACTCCCCCAGAGGGCAAATAGATCACGAAAACGCTGCAGGCAGATGCGAGGGAGTACTACTTTGCCCTAAAGAAGGATACATCTGAGTCTCTTGTAGGAAAATAGATCACCTGGAGACCCTCAGGACAAGGAAATAAATCAGACACAAGCCTTACGTGTCACAGAAGTTTCTGTTCTATGAGAAGCCCAAAGTATAAATGAAGAACAAGGTAACAAGAAACGGAGAGAGAGAGACCCTTTGCAGAAGGGAGGCAGGGTGAGAAAAAAAGGGAAACAGAAGAAAACAGAATGGAGCTGCGTTGTACCCGCAGTGACTCCCTATGAGGAGCACACGGGCATGAAAAAGCAAGCTAAACTGGCCCAGCTGAGGCTCACAAAGTGTCAGTCAATGGGTTTCATACACTGGGGCATAGCAAAAACGGGGCTCCCTCCTGCACCCCTCAGCGGGTCTGGGGGTCCAGCAGGGCCTCTGCCGTGGAGGCGCTGAGTTCACCCAGGCCCAGGGAGGCCGCTTTACCGGGGCGGGGGGGGGGCCGACCTGAGTGCGTGGCCGTGGACACGCTGAGGTCAGTGGGGAAGGAGGTCACTGCAGAGCTTCCGTCCGGGCTGCGCTCCGTTAGGACGGGACAGCGGACGCCCCTGAGGCTCCTACGGGGCTCCCGTCCCTGAGCCCGAGCTCAGTGAGCGCTAACACCTTTCACATGCCTGCGGTTGTGGGGTCCCTGGGTGTGAGGGGACCACACAGGGGTCCTGCTGAAAAATCCGGGGCCGAAAGCAATGCAGAAGTGCATTAGTGTGGGTGGAAATCTGGAAACCCTGAGGGTGTTAGTTTTGTTAGAAACACACTCACACACACACACTCACAATACACTCATGCACTTAAGCACACACACTCACATTCACACTCATGCACATACACTCACACACACACACTCACCCCAGTGTAGCTTTAAAAGTGGGTGACCAGCGAGGAGCTTTTTTCCCAGGTATTAAGCTGTTAGGCACAGCAACTGTATTAGAAGATTTAAAGGCTGTTACTCACCCATCACGAAAATAATTTTACATTTCCTCAAATCTTCCACGAGACCTTTAAGAGAAAATAAGTTATTGGTAAAAAAAAAAAAAAAAATACTGCGCAGAAGCCCTGATTTTGCCCATGTTGCGAAACCCTTGGCCCACAGTTCAGTCTGGTAAGGAGCCTGCACTTGGGCCAACAGGCCAGGGCCACCCTAACAGCGGTGATAACAGCGATGTCCCTGAGGAGCACGAACCGCACAGCCGGCTACTGAAAACCTTTCCAAACGCCCTGGCTTGTCTGAGTTCAGCGCCCTCGAATCTGCTAACCTTGCCTTTGTAATAAAGCAGGGTTAAGGCATAAGTAGAAGGCCCAGAAGACAAAGCTTGAACAAAACAGTTCCTATTTACAGCGAATAATGCCCTTTGCCCTTTTGAGTCAAGACATAAATTCCCTTTTCAAATAAATGTAGTTAAGAACAGTAATGAGTCCATTTGCAGAAAAATGTAGGATAGGGCTGTGGTCCCGTGATGACCAGGAAAAGTCTCGGCGGCGGCAGTGAGGCTCGGGTTTGGGGAGCTGCTGCTGCAGGGGACAGGAGTGATCCACGGTGCCCAGGACGATGCCCCCGGGCACCTCGGAGTCTCAGGGGATTTACGGCTGTCAGGCTTTGCTCTGACGCCTGAGGAGCAGGGAGAGGAGAGCTACGTCCACGTCCTGCTCCCAACTGGCCAGCTCTCTGCGAGTGACCTGGCTTGTCCATCTCTGAAAGGACAGGGCTGGACTCTGCGATCGCCAACACCTTTTGGTTCAAACACTTGTGATGCTGGGCGCCTGTGTCAGTCAGTCACTCTGTTCATGCAAATGCAGGGGCTCACTGTGTCTCAGGTCCTCCTTAAACCACCACCATCCTGAGAGACCCTGGCCAAGGTCAGGCCACCCGCAGGCCTGAAGTAGACACAGCTGTGAGCCAGGCCCTGGGGCTCGGATCACGCCAGGGGTCACTGCTCAAGTCCAGGACCAAGGCCTCCTCAGGCTTTGAAAAAAATAAAACTTAGAGCAAGGAACCCAGGCACCCAGGAGCAGCAGCGTCCCCCAAGGCAAGGCTGTCCCAGAGCAGCTGCAACGAGTGCTGTCTCCTGAGGAAAGATCAGAGGTTTCATTTACCACTAACCCTTTCACGCATCCAAGTGTCCCAGTGCTGTCACACAGTCTCGGCCTCAGCAGCTCAGCTGGGGACAGGGTTTGCGGGCTGCCAAAGACCTCAGGGCAGCAGTGTGGGTTGCAGGAGAGGGGATAGGCCATGGGTGGTGAAGGCCAAGGGTCTCCCTGGGTTTGATTCTGTCCTTGCCCTGGCTAATTTGGGGGACAGCTGGGTCCAGCATCTGTGAGTGCCCGGTTTGGGTGGCGGTGAGGCAGGCGGGTTCCACACAGAACTGCAAGGCTTTCAGAAAGGTCTCTCAGATGTGCCCCAGAAAAGCTAGGCAAAATGCCAGTGTGAAGGACCTGGGTGTCTGTGGAGCTTGGGATGTGGTTGGCAAGAAGGGACCTTCCTGCCAGGCTCCTGGAGCACCCTGCTGTCCAACCAGGCGGCCCTGGGGCAGACACTAGGTTGAGTCAGACAGAGGAGAGTGCCAGATGGTAGCTAGGGGTAATTTGGAATAGTTTATTATTTCTGTGAATAAGGAAAGTGCTTTTCAAACTGCAAGACAATAGAGGATCCTGGTGTATTTCTAGCATGCAGGAGGCTGAGGCAGAAGGATTTCCCAGGATTGAAGGCCACCCTGGACTACACAGCCAGACCTTGTCTCAAAAAAAAAAAAAAAAAAAAAAGGTAACCGAGGAGCCCCGGGGGCACCTGTCCCATCTGGTAGTGGCTGCTTTCACCACTCCTCTGCTTGTGAGCTAAAATGATGGCGGTGATTACTCGGAGAAGCTGTAGGTTTTTAATCTCATCATGCTGATAAAAACTGCAATTTTTATACTTTGAATGACTCAGTAGGACTGTGGCTTATGCATCATATTTATGGAGATGCTTAATTGTGAAAGATCATTGTTTTGGCAGTTATAGAATTTATTTTTTAGTGGAATATTTTGGGGGGCAGGAGTAGTACTGGGGATTGAACCCAGAAACATTTGCTAGGTTCCCCAGCCTTTCAAATTTTCTCTTTTTTTTCTTCTTTTTTTTTGAGGCAGGGTCATGCTAAGTTGCTAAGCAGCCCAGGCTGGGCTTGAACTTACGACCCTCAGCTTCCCAGTGGGCTGGCAGTGGTGCTTTTACAGACCAAATGATACACACCTGCAGGAATCTGTTAAGAGCAGAGCTAAGGGGCCAGTTCGCTGGTGCCCTGGAGGCAAGTTTCTGTGTTTGTCTCTTTACAGAGTAGCTCATGAGAGTGGGTAAATCTCAGGTCCTCTAGAGTTTTCTTTGAAAAGCAGATCCGTGAGTGTCCCTAACATGTGGGGCTTGGTGGCCGCCTCACAGGGCTGAGCAACTCGGACTCTACAATTGGGAAGTGGCCAGGGTAGTCCCTGTCCGTGTGTGTGTGTGTGTGTGTGTGTATCCTGGTCTGACTATATTCTGTTTCAGCTTTTAAAATAGTTTGTGTTTAGTGAATGACGGTACATTCATCAGTGTCATCATGACAAATTATTTTATAGCATTTTTAGGGACACAGGAGCATGCTTATGTTATGCTATATACACAATATTGGAGATGTTTGTATTTGTGTGTGTTCTCAACTATAAAACTAGGTACATAGACAATACCCCGAAGTGAAATATAATGGAACGTTATCCATGATTATTTATAGGCCGTAGGATTTTAGATGGCTTGTATTGTCCATCTCAAAAAAGTCTACAGTGTGTGTTAGGTTTATAATCAGGAAAAAGGACACTGTGTTGAATCATCAGTCATTCTGTGTCCTGTTGAGATGAAGCTATTCGCGCTTTCCTAAGTGACAGCTAAGTTATGGCTCATGTTTATGATTCTCTGTGAGTCACTGTGATGTCACTTGGTGACTGATTTTCATATACTACGGTGGTCCTTAGCACCAAATGTCACTTTATCTACCACCTCATGCCCAAGGATTGATGCAGGATTACAGCTGGGGTTATTTAAAGAGCTTAATTACAATCTCCCCATGTTTGCGCTCAATACTATACACACAGTCCCATGATAACAACCTGTTTCACAAAGCGGAAATGTCAGAGATATTTCTTCCAGGGCCAACATGACCAGTCCTAACCTGATATCATTTTACCTACTTTCATTTACAGCTCTCACTAGTTGGGAGTACATTTTTCTTTCTGTGAGACTTTTAACATGACAAAAACCATAAGGCAGTACAGTGTTGGTGTGTGTTGGATGGGTCCCAACGGTGCACTGCTGAACAGTAGCTACTACATGGGAAGAAAGAGTCCTGTGTTGAAATTCAGCTTGAAGAATGTTGAATTAAAGTCAGATGGTTCTGGTTACAGAGCTCTTGTGGGGGGCCTTGCTTTGCTAGGATTACATGGACCTCCCAATGAGGACGGAAAGGAAAGCATTCCCCAGGCACCTCTGACCACCACATCCGCTTTTCACCCAGCATCTTGTGAGTCATGTTCCTTGGCATGAAGAACTGCATCTTCTGGTGACAAAGTCCTTGTCCCCGAAGGAAGAGACCCATAGAATTCCACCCCTAGACTCACTTGCCGGCCCAGAGACCCTCACACTGTTGGTGTGTCAGAAAGTGGGTGTGTCAGAAAGAAGCCATGCCCAGGCCCCTGCAACGGCACCCGCCTGGCCAGCAGAGGAACTCACCTCCTGTGGTGTCTTCTCCGTATACGCTGGCCTGGTCGTCAGCCTGCGGGAGAAGTCACAGCGTTAGAGGGTCACAGTCACAGACTTGAACTTGCAAAGGGAGGGACTTCCAAATAAGCCCTTGAGAGGAGTCTTTTGACAGATAAGGAGGCAGAATTCTAGAAGGAGCCGCAGCTCCCACAGAACTCGGATTGAAACCCAGGCCCCCTCTGTCCCGGGAGTCCATGCTTTTTATAATTAATAACTAAGACAGTAATAATTAGTACAATAACAATCAATACAGTAATGGCTGATTTTCTTGGTGCACAAACTGTGGATAGAAAAGTTGACTTCAAGAAAATAAAACCCTTCAGTGGGGGAAGTAAGTGGTGAGGAGGGGTCACAGGTATTTTCTCCATTTTTAAACTAGATGTTCCATTTTCCTGAAATTTGTTAAACAATTTATGAAAAGGCATTTTGGGGGGATCTTCGTCCCTGCCTCTGTCTCCGTCTATCTTCCCCCCTCTGTCAGCTTTTGTGGGGAACCACATACAAAATTTCCAGGTGCACAAAAGATGACTTCCAGCCCGCCAGGGGCAAGGGGGATCTATGTCGGTATGACCACATGATGGACATTTCGTACACAAAAGTAGACTGCTTTTACTACGCATGTGTGTGTGTTCAGCATGTAACAATGTGATATACTGTTCTTCCACTTGCCTTTTCATATGCTGCATTCTGGAGAACTTTCCAGATCAATGTGGAAGGTTCTCAGGAAAGAATGTTCCTGGTCGCATAGCATTCCATTGTATGGTTGATATCATAGTTGGTTATTTTTTATAAAAACTGTTTATTTATTTAGCAGTTCTGGGAAATGCCTTTTGGGGCCTTTGTCTTTCTTCTACAGTCAGATTTTATTGGTACATTTTAGGTATACACAATGATCACACTTATATGCAATTTGTACCTGTACATGATATAACTTGATTCATTTTTTCCCCATTCCTCCACCCTCTCTTCAACCCCGCCTTCCCTTTGCATTTACAAAGCCTTTGTTCCCAGTTTTTCCTTCTTTCCTCATCTCTTTTAACTTTTCTTTTCTTTCCTTCCCCCCTACCCTATCTTCATTTCCCTCCCCATTTGAACATTTTCTTCCCATTTCACAATATCTATTACACATTTTGGTCCTTATTTACACTTTCGGTTTCTCATACCAGAGAAACAATGTGATATTTATGTATCTGTGTCCAGTTTGTTTCACTTAAGAATATGGTCTGAAGGTACAACCATTTATCTAGAAATGTCTCAAGTTCATCCTTTTTATAAAGTACCGCATCTTTTTTTATCCATTCCTCAGTTGATGGGCATTTAGGTTGTTTTCAAGATTTAGCTGTTACAAACTTTGCTGTACTGCTATAAATATGAGTGCACATATATCACTGTGGTGTGATGTTTTTAATTCATTTGGGAAGACACCAAGGAGAGGAATAGCTGGGCCAAATGGAACCTCTAGTTCTAGTGGATTTTTTTTGGTGCCAGGGATCAAACTCACAACTCACTCTTACCAGGCAAGTGCTTGAGCTACTGAGCTAAAACCGTGGTCCTAGTTCTAGTTTTTTGAGTTATTGCCACAGTGATTTCCACAGGGGTTGTGCTGGTCTACGAAACCAGGGCTTTTTTACTGAGTTACAGTCCCAGCTTGTAAAAAATTTTTCAAGATGACATCTTGCTAAGTTGTCCAAGTTGGGTTTGAACTTGGCATCCCCCTGCCTCAGCCTCCCAGAGTGCTGAGATACTGTGTGTACCACCACCCCCACTTTAAACTAGAATTTATTGAGGGGTTATTGTGCTGTTTCCCATCTTTGACTATTTTTGGGAAAGTGGCCCAGAGGCTAGGTTCCTATACATGTCACTTTACAAGCATATTCCTGTAGGTCCACGCTGGGTCGGGGTGGTCCCAGAGTAAACTTATTTATATGTTGATAGTTTTTTTGTTTCCAAAATGCTGTTGGCAGAGGTTGTGCCCTTTCACCGAGCACCCCTCCCCGGCCCCTCATTAATTTTGAAGCCAGGTGGATGACAAAGTCTCCTCCAAGTGCATTGTGGGGACTTGCAGCTCTCACTGTTTCTGCCTCAGGGCAGCCTTGCTGTGGTACATAAATCTGAACAAAAAAGAATAAAAACGGACACAGGGTTTCAAAGAGACTTTCCTCCAGTTTCGGACATGGTATCTTTTACTTCAGCTGGCACCTGAGCAGATCACACAAATTCTGGAAAATCACAAACCATGAAAGGCTGGCTAGTGTGGGAAGATTTCCCTAGATTTCTACTTAAACTGGTCTGCTGACTTGTCTTTGGTTATAAGAAATAGCAGGACCTAGCAAAAGCTAGGTGGTGAGTTTGATTCCCGGTAATCCCCTGTCCCCTGCAAAAAAGTAACAGGAAAAACAAAGTCCTATAGTTCTTTTTTTTTTTTTTCCTTGACTTTATTTATTTATTTGGTACGGGCTGGAACTCTTGGCAGGCGCTTATGCTGCTGAGCTAAATCCCTGGCCCATCCTACAGTCCTTAAAAGAGAGGAATCTTCATAGGCCAGAACAATGGTTACAGAGATACTAAGTGTCTCCTCAACCTGCGGCCCCAAAGTGAAAGTTTTAAGGATTTTTTTCTCGTTATGCCTGCATTATTTTTAAACAGCAAAACATCTCATGTGTAAACAATTTTAGAAAGAGTGTCTGGGGCAGTTATTTAGGGGGCCCTGGAGAGTTTTCAACACCATCGCTTGGGTGAATGCCACCTGGGGGTGCGTTTGATATTTCTTGCACTTTCCAGAAGGGAAGCTGGGCCGGGCAGGTGGGAAGCCCCACGCAGGACACCAGCGGCTGGGGGCTCCTCGAGAGCTGAGCCGTGTCCCATGGGCTGGTGTCTCGCAGGAGGAGCCCACAGAGCCGGTGGGGACCCTCACACTGTCACGTGCTGGAAGCACAGATGGCTCTTTGCACAGGGAGAGTCAGGAGCGCTGCGAACGCCGTTTGGAAAGCCTTGGCTCTCCGCGGGCAGATGTGCAAACCAGACACACAGCTCAGGCTGATCAGCAGGGAGGAGCAGGCTGGATCTTGAGAAATGTTTTTGAGTGTTTACAGTTCTCTTGTTAAAGACTGTTTCATTTACAGTAATGGGCAGTTTGAAAAATAAGTACACAAGAAGTGGTTTGTCACTCGGTGATGCCCAAGAAAGTATTCTGTGCCACTGCCCTTCGCACTTAGGAAAGGATGCGTGATGAGTGGCCCGATGCTTTGCAAGCACGCGTGTCACCGGTGACCTGGGAATGAGGTGGCCGCTGGGCCCACCACCTCCTGCCCATGGAACGGTGGGGGCTCCACATGAGCTGCTTCAAACGGGGTTTACAGTGCTAGTTCTTTCAGAATAGGGCATTTTTCTTCTTTTATGTGTAAACTGAAACATTGGTGTCCCTGATAAAAAGTTTAAAAGACAACTCACTGTTTTCCTGTAAGTTCCTCTGGAACAGGTGTCGACTCCACTCTCTGCTAGAAGACTGCGGAGTAACGAACGCCTCAGACCATTCATCAAAGGCACTGTCACTCTTGGCAAGGACTCTGAGAAGCTGGGCTTTGAAGGAAGGTGCAAGACTTCCCATGCTAAATTAGCTAAAGCTAACCTTGGGGGCAGGGATACAGCTCAGTGGCATAAACACCTGCCTGAGAAGCACAAGAGCCTGAGTTTGATTCCTGGTACCAAGACATACAATAAAAAGGTTAATGTTGGCTATGAAGTCGCCTCTGGCTAGAGGCTGACCCAGGAGAGTCTCTTGGCATTTAAATTCCTGTTTCCAAGAAAGAAAACGGCCAAGCTCAGCATCTGCCTTTGAGAATTATGGAGCAGTTGGCCTGGTTCTGGGACTTTGGCATGGCTCTCAGAGGAGAATGGGAAATCAGATTTATTACTAAATTAAAACACTAGGCTTGTGCTCGGGGGTCCTGTGCCTTCAACACAGTTTGCTCTTTTTGTTGCATGCGGTGCAGGACCTGCTGTCACACCTCAGGTGCCAGGACTTGCTGTCCAAGTCAAGCATCACCTGTCAGGGTCCAGCCAGGCACGAGAGTTCCCTTCCCAGCCGCCTTACTGTCTTGAGGGCATAGCATCAGGCAGGCTCTGCTGTCCTTCACATAGAAGAGAAAGTTAAGGCCGTGTATTTCTTATAGTTCTACTTGCTACACGGAAAAAGTCCTTTCAGCAGCACTGTGCTAAACGGTGGCGCAGCCATGACAACTGTGGTCTCAGATGTCCCCCCCCCATGTTTGTAGACCTCACCCTGACCTGTGTGCGTCCACCCTCGAGTGAGCTTGTGACTTGCTGCTTAGTCAAAAAGAGAAAGAATTGCAATGGGACGCTTTTTCCTGGGCTGGGCTTCGAGAGCCCTGCATGCCTCTGTGGTCCCTTGATCTCTCCCAATGGCCCTCAATCTTGATTGAGGATCACATGCCACGTGGACCACACTGTGTGCCCTCCCCTGGGGCACCTGCAGAACCCCCTCTTTCCTAGGGACACCTGTCTCACCCCTAAGGTCTTCCAGCGATGGACTGAGGCCCACAAGTGTTGTGAAAATCCTTTACTGAGAGTCAGCTGGTCACCCACGCCAATCACACCAACAACACATGTTCATGGCAACCCCTGGGTTAGTCCCAGGGTCAATAACTAGGTCCAGGAGCCGGCAACACCCAAAGCAGTGGTGTGGAGTGAGCCGAGCTCGGCCAAGCCCAACCAACCCTGCATCTTCAGGAAAATAATAAGTGGATGTCATTTAAATCCCTAGGGTTCAGGCACCGATGCAGCAAGAGTCAAAGGAATATACTGAACTTTCTTTGTCTTAAAATCTTAGTATGAGGCTGCATGGGAGCCAAAGAGCAACAGTTGACTGTCCCTGAAAAGCCTTTGCACGGCGTGTCTGGGGGATATTTGAAAGGCACAGTGGCTCACATTCACCCCCTACCCTGCCTGCAGCAGGTGCCAGGGCCAAGGAAAGCAACCTGCTCTTTCCTCCTT